GCGGTGAAATCCCGGAAATGTCCGAAATGCTCGGATTCGTGGGAAACGAAACTGACGTGGTAAAGTGACGCTTCCCGCACTCTAGATCGGTGGGTAATTAGGTATATGTCTATAGCGTGTAGATTACATCGCAGAAAATTCATTGGAAATACTATATTGATTATGCTTTATTTTTTGAAAATACTGGTGCGTGAATACACCACTGGTTTTATCTGTGAAACAAAACTTTGTTATTGCAAGTCTAGACAAGTCAGTGCATGTAGAATAAACATCCAACAATTAGCGTGTTCTTTAGTATTTAATAGTATTAGTTTGTGCCTTGCGCAGTGAACGTGACAGTTACAGTACAATATGGCATTTCCGAGGTATTTCACTCAAAAGGAATTAGAGGCGGCTATGGAGGAGATCGTGATTGATGAGGACAATAACAATGAAAGTCGTAAGTATTATTTGGATTTACGTATACTTATGTATTGTAGCATTCCCTTCATTGTAAATTTATGCTAAAAATAACGAAGAAGATATGAAGGATAAAATAAATCTACAAGAGTTTGAGGAACCAACTAATATAGTTGGAACTTTCGAGTTCCATACACCTACAACAGTCCTGTAGTTCATCAATTACTGAACCTGAATGGGACTCATCAGATGATGAAACCCTGGAATTCAAAAGAAGACGTATGCTTTCTGCAAACGACAGGCTTCCTTCTACTGTCAAATGGAAGAAAGGTCAGATTGAGTACACACACACACACACCTACATCCGGAAAAACTACGCTTGATGACGAAATGATTGATTTGATTTTAAATCTTACATTGCTTTGCTACTTTTAAAAACTGATAAAACAATTACTCAAAGAAATCTTGCACCTGCCATAGATGAAGTGCGTTATGATAATTAAGGTCACCTCATGATTGTTCATGCTAATAAAGCCCGAAGGAGATGTAGAATCCGCCACAACCACCCAATTTACGTTTGTAACAAGTGTAATGTGCATTTACATACTTTGTGCTTTGTAAAATATCACCAAAAATAAAACCGGGTGTTACTAATATTATGCGTTTTTTGGTATCAAATCAGGTTCTATTTGGAAAACAATCTACTTTTAGTTGTTTTCTGTCGAATTTGAACTTTCTTTTGTATATTTATGTATAAATTGTATGGTATATCTTATGTGCCCAAGACATTTAATATTTTTTCCCAGTAAGTGCAACAAAATAAATAGTTTCAGAGCAAAAAAGTATTTTTTTATTCTTTTTTATGCTTGGGATAATATGGGTTAATACCTACCGGACCCGAGTTTCATTGCCGTCGGCAGGTAACTTCCATAATGGCAGGCAAACGCGAGCGCGATGAAGACACCATGAAATTTCAAATTTAGGGAGATGCTTTCAGAACTCCTGAGCCTAAACCTGGTTCCCCTAATGAGATCCATCGCGGGAACGACTACGACAATCGGAATTAGAGTTTCACTTTTCTTTCCTTTTTTGTTTCGTAACTAAAATTAGTTTTGGTCATATTGTGCAGTATTAAAAACGTTTGGTCTCTTTTTCCGTTTTTCGATTTTCGAAAAAACGAACTTCTTGTGGCCATTGCTAATATGATTTTTCCCCCTAAAAATGCTTATTCAATAAAACACATATTATTAATTTGATTTATAGAACAGGTATGCAATTAATGTTGCTTTATTTTAGATTTATTCATTGTCACCAGTGATTTTCGCTGTTTAAAGAGGTTTATAAATTGTAATCGTATTTATGAAAGTTTTGCGATATTAATAATTTCTTAACAATAAACTCTTTCGTCGCATTTAATTCATTTTTTAATACGGGAAAAGACAAGAAACAAGCCCCACCCCCTTCAATCCGTTGAGAAAAAACAACTGGCTGAAACGTTTCAATGGGAACGTTGCGGAAAAACTCGCGCCGATAGCAGACGCGGCAACAGCGCCGCCGCCGTGAATTAATTAAAGAAATTTTTATGAGTAATAAATTTAGAAAATCGATCCGCGCCCGGCGAATAAACATAATGCACGGCACGCAGGCACATACGTGCACGACGTCGCTGAAGCCGATAGATGCGATATATTTCGCGGAAAAAAAAGAAGGCAAATACGCACCCGCGACCTGATAAACCGGAGAGGATCGTTCCGGGAAGTCCGCCGCGAAGTGGGCCACGAAAACAGAGCGCGCGGAAGAAAACAAACTGTCGGATTTGTTTGCGGGACGGTTAAATGCCAGGCGATGACGTAACCGACGGTCCGTTCGCAAATACCCGTGATTAATTAAAGGATCCTTCTGAAATGTTTTCGATTTTTGAGTATACGGGGTGTCCGTCGGCGCATGCTCACTTTTCGTTGTCATTGCGGGATATATCATCATTATTATACTATAGAACGATTGATGGGTGGGGGAGGCGGCTCAATACTGTCTCAGTTGGCTTTGTTTAGTATTTTAAACACCCTGTTTCGTAATGAGATGGAATATTATAACTTTTCACGTAATGTCCAGATTTTATTTGGTTGCACTTTTTATATGCTCTCCAAAAATGTGTATAAATGTGTGTATTACGACATTTTAAAAAATATACCTGTTTTCTATTGTAATTTTATTCCAGTTTCCATGTTATTATTATTTTATTTAAAAAATGCGAAAAGAACAAAAAAGAGTAAACTTAAACAAACATTTTTCGCATAATTTATTGATTTTAAAAAATAAATTTGATTCCCTAAGATTCTACAATATATTTGTAAAAAAAGCATTGCGAATTATTAGTTCAGTCATGTTGCTTTCTGATTAACCCAGCACGTTTATGGCCCACTCTTTAATTTGTTTTTTTTTTTTTTAACAATTCGTACATTAACCAAGGAAAAGTGTTTTTCTTTTTTGTATTTTTTTAAATAATAATAATAACAATAATATCGGTTATTGAAATAAAATTAAGATAGAATAAAAGTATATTTTCGAAAATGCCAAAATATATGTTTGTTTAATCTATCAATTATCAAACTTTACTTGAGCTTTTGAGACGTATATTAGAAATTCAATAAAAAATATCGGTAAACAGCTTTTATATCAAGGCACTTTTAAATTGTTCGCAACTTCCTGGACATATTTGTTATACGTATGATATATCGTATACTATATTTTCAATTTTATGTTAAAAGTGTCGTTTGCAGGTCTGAACACGATTTCTCCGACTAAAATCCTTTGTCTTACATTTGGGGTTTCCTAATAGTGGTCTGTTTTGATATTATAAAAACAAATAAATACGGGGTGAAAAAACATTAAAAAATTTAACGTTAAAAATGAAAAGTGTTTTTCTTCAGCCTGTATATCAAGGCACTTTTAAATTGTTCGCAACTTCCTGGGCATATTTGTTATACATCTGATATATCTATACTATATTTTCAATTTTATGTAAAAAGTGACACTATTTCTCCGACTAAAATCCTTTATCTTATATTTGGGGTTTCCTAATAGTGGTCTGTTTTGATATTTTAAAAACAAATAAATACGGGATGAAAAATCATTAAAAAATTTGATCTTGAAAAGGGGTGACTTTGTATCAGGTCGTCTATTGTAACAATGCTACCACGGAGTACTCAATGGTTTTCTGTAATTCACCGCTTTCTCATAAATAAATACAACTTTCTTGATTTATATGGTAATGGTGGTCAAAAAAAAAACTTACATCGAACCCTTTTTAATCACGGTTATTGCAATCTGTCACCAACAATGGGCCTTTTTTTATATAAGTACGCTTGTTGACGGCATTTTTATTACTTAATTAATATCTAGCCAAAATCGCAGTAGTAACCGACTTGTGTACTATTATTATGTTATCAATACCTATTTTGAATAGACTGGAGGAGATTGGAGCCGGAAGTATTTAAGCTTGGTTTCTAAAAGAAAATTTATTCAGCTATTCACTAATTTGCGGTTTTTCTGTTAATTTTTTTCAAATAAACTTCCACGTACTCTTGTAATACTATTTACAAATCTTCTGAATGCCTCCTGCGTAGTAAATCAAACTCGCTGACGTTTCGCCAATCATGCTCCCGGCTTCTTCAGAGCTAAACCGAAACCGCGAAACATCAACAAGTTTGATTTATAAATGATCGACGCGGGAGAAATCCCGAAGATTTGTAAATAGTATCAGATCCCCTTGTTCAGGGCTAACCTATTTTCTTATATGCATCAAACATGTTATTCTACATGTCTAGTTTCTCCAGGTTTTTCTTGAAATTTTTTCCCGTTTTTTTTGCCGTTAACAGAATCAATGGACATATGGTTCCTTCGTTAAGACGCCAGATTTGTTTTAGCTGGATAGTCACTTCTTCATATTCTCGAACTTTCTCAGCTTCCGTAGATCTCAAATTGTGGGTCAACTTATGGCAATATCCATGATTATTATTATTATTATTGTTCCGTCCAATCGGAATTGTTTTTTTTTTTTTCTCTTTAGTTTTTGATAATCGGGAATTTTTGCGTCTAGCAAATTGAAATTGGTTTTCTCAGTGGGCATCAAAAAACTCGTATGTAACTCCGGGGTCGTGATCGGGACTAGTGCGACTCAGAGAGCATTTTCCGCGTGCCAGATTTAAAATCTCGAGTGCCATAAAATATTGCCAAATTGTTCCAGTCAACAACCAGAGCTGCTTCAATGTAGGTTACATCAATATATCATTTTTTAAATCTCCGCGTTCTTTGTGGCTTCAATTTTACGAAAATTTATATTCCATTGCGCTTTCTCGTACAATTATTATTTTATTGTTATTGTTATTATTATTATTAGAGTTTATAGTAATTACTAGGTATCTTGGAACCGTATTCTTCGTTGTAATTCTATTAAAAAGGATATATTAAAACCGTACACGTTATTTCAAATATCATCATTATAATAATGGAGAGTGTGAAAAATTTTCCGATATTGGTTTGGTGGAAACTCTCAAACAAAACGTTATGATGGCTTAGAGGTGACTCCGTCTTTGTTTTAGGACGCGCGCAAGGCGGCATGCGATACGAGCCTCGTGCAGGCGACCGCGAGCCTCGAGCCGATCGGCCGCGTGCAGATGCGCACCAGGCGCACTCTCCGCGGTCACCTCGCCAAAATCTACGCGATGCACTGGGGCTCGGACAGTCGGAACCTCGTGTCCGCCAGTCAGGACGGCAAGCTCATCGTCTGGGACAGTCATACCACCAACAAGGTTCACGCTATTCCCCTCAGATCGTCGTGGGTGATGACCTGCGCGTACGCACCTTCCGGCTCGTACGTCGCCTGCGGCGGCTTAGATAATATTTGCTCTATATATAGCCTAAAAACGAGGGAAGGTAAGCGAATCGGGGCCACGCCCGTTCCGAAGTAATCACTCTTTCCGCCCTTCCCGTTTGCAGGTAACGTCCGGGTGAGCAGAGAACTGCCCGGCCACACGGGTTACCTCTCTTGTTGCCGCTTCCTGGACGATAACCAAATAGTGACCAGTTCGGGCGACATGTCGTGCGCCCTGTGGGACATCGAGACGGGTCAGCAGGTGACCAGTTTCCTCGGGCACACCGGCGACGTCATGTCGCTCTCGTTAGCGCCGGACATGCGCACATTCGTGTCGGGTACGTGCGACGGGCCACGCCCTCAACTCCGCCTCTCTACAAGTTTCAAATTAATTAAAAGCTTAACTAATTCTACCCCGTATGGTTTTTGAACTTTTGGAGTTTTTCTTTTTCACAGTTGGATAAAATATTTTTAAAAAAGTTAAATCAAACTGAACTTGTTTCCTGTGGTTAAAAAGTCGACAATAAAGGCTGCGACGTCACGATGTTACGGGAACGAGGTTAAATCCAGTCGGTCAAAAAAGTCTCCGTACACATAGTATTTTTCCAGTTTTCTTTCAAGTAAATATCGGCAATGCCATTATGAGTAATAAAAATAAAATAAAAATCATTTGAGACACTTTAAAGAATAAGGCAGTTCTAGAAGCAAGAAACTATGTCAAATAAATAATATAAAAAGTTTCTTAAAGTCTAATATTTTGTACAATTGCCATCTGGCGATATGTTTCCCACTCTTCCCTTATCCTGTTTTTGAGGTCTTCTTTACTCGTATTTTCATGTTTGTTCACTCGTCGCTTTAACTCTTCCCACAGGTGCTCTATGGGAGATTGTGGTGGTGTCTAAAGTTGTTGGCGGACACAATGGAACATCAAGCGTAGCAGAGTGTTTAGGATCGTTATCCTGTTGGAAACAAGTTTTTCAACGCTTTGGTTTAAATTATTCTTTAGGATGTTCAAATAGCCATGTCGGTCCATCATTCAGTCAATAAAAGCTACATTGCCTGTCCCATTAGCTGACATGCACTCCTCACAATAAAACATTACCTCCACAATGCTTCACCGTAGGACAGATATGTTCGATTTTCCATCTTTATCCAAAAACTCCCTGGTTTGTTTTATTTGCTTTTTTTTTTCGAAATTAATGGTTTCCTTCTGGCAACGCGCCCGTTATCATCTGCTCCATGCAAGCGGTTTCTAATCGTTTGAGGGCTAACATTTTTTGAGAACTCTTTCCTGATTTCCCGTGGAGTTAACTTCCTGGGACGACCAGAGCGTGGCCGCACTTTATAAGATCGGGTGGATTTGTATTGATTTATTGCATACGCATACTGTACAGTTGAATGTGATTTTTAAATTATTTTACCAATACCTCTAAAGGATTTTTTCTCTTTCCATCTATCTATTATGATTTTTCGAAGCGCAATTGGAATTTCGCAATTTTTAGCTCTCATTTTGCTTTTACTTCAAAACCACTGACTTAAAAGTGGCGTCAAAAATAAACAAGTATAACTCATTTGTTTAAGCTAAAATTAGTTCAAGCGTACTTGATAAAATATTCATAATTAACGGTTCTGAATAGTGATTTATCAAAGTGTATGGAGACTTATTTGACATAGTTTCTTGCTTCTAAAACTGTCTTATTTTTTATTTATTAAATAAATTGTCTCAAATGGTTTTTATTTTATTTTTATTACTCTTAATCAGATTGTAGATATTTATATGTAAGTGAAAGAAGAAACTAAAAGAAAACTGAAAAATGCTATGTGTACCGGCGGTATAAAGACCTCAGCGAATATTTATTGCATAGGGCCCACAGATAAAAAAGTTTAGGTTATTTAATACTTCCCAGTTGCTGACATTTAGTACATCGTGGCGCCACCAGGCGTTTCCTTGGCACGTCAAATTTAGATGAACTTTCCAAACTAACCAACTTTTATTCTACGGGATGACTAAGGAGGTTGAGGTCAATATTGCAAAACTAGGCCGCCAGTTTAGGTGTTTCGTTACTAATGTGGTCAATATACTTGTATTTAACATTAAATATTGGGCAAAGACCGGATAACATCCTTAGACATCCGTTTCATCGATAACCCTTACATTTTAGACCCTGAACCTTTCCAAATAACCAACAAGTGTAATGCTGCTTAAAGAACCGGGCTACAAAAGAAGTGAATAATTTATTTATGCAAAAAATAAGGTTAGGCACCAGACGACCAATTATAGAGCAACACGAATTACAAAAAGAAGAAGAAGAAGTTGGATAGAAGTACGCAAAAAAAATCTATAGTCGACTAGGTTATTTCATGTAGTTATTAGATAATAGAGTTACCCTACTACGATAAAAATTGAAGCGGTGGCACTTTCCGCGCGTGGCCTCTACATTTCACCTACAATTGTCGCCATTTTCTTTTAGCACAGCGATTTCGACACACTCGACTCGTTTTTTTTTTTCGAAATTTGAACGAGTTCTAGGTGTATTTTCAAAAAAATACTGCCGTAAAAATGCCGCATACAAACTTATTGACCATCTGCAAGATCATTAGTTAACAACGAAATTTTATATATCGCGCATACATACAAAGAAAATATTAAAGCACTCCACGTCGGTGATTGAAAGCGATAATAGCGTAAATTTTTATTGTAATATGAGTGAAATTGTCTTTGTCAATAAAACGATTTAAAAGTTTGTTAAAATAGTATTTATTAAATGAAAGAATCTAAGAACAAAAAATGATCATAAGTAATTTTATGTCTTTGTAAGTTTCTGTGATAATATTGTTCTTAGCTTTAATTTTTTTTAAATTTCAATTTTAAAAATTTCAATTGACCAAAATTGACCAATACAACATAATAAAGTGGTTCAGTGGTTCTCTGAACAAATCCCAAATTATGCAATGCTTTCCCAATAATATTTTCTATGTGGGAGTCCAAAAGTTTAACACATATAATCTACTAGACATATAGAGGCCCAGCCTATGCTGACGTGCACACGCTCGAGATTTACAATTCCGTTTTTAACCAATGGCAGTTCTAATGACAAATTCTGACGTAGGACCCATAAGACCTTGCGGCTTTCAACAAACAATATGGCCGTTGACAGATCGTTGATATTTGAATGCCACATTTTTACGGCAGTATTACCTTAAAATATGTCGAAATCGTATTAAATATTCAGACAAAAAAGGAGTTAAGGTGTGAGAAAGCAGTACAGAATTCATGTCGGCGTCAGTATAATTCTGTAATTAATTTTACGTTTTTGTTCTTCAAACCTTGTTGATAGGATGCAATTTCTACATGTATTTTTTTATGTAAGCTATTTTTTTTTGTAAACCAGAGTAAAGCGTGTTTTCATAAACTCGTAGGTTTAACTTCCGTTAAAATAACTTTGAGGTGCTAGATATCGCACATGAAACATCCAAATAAAAAAATGTTCAAGAAGCACTTCCTGTATGCTTGTTCTAGTAAAAATTAAACTTAATAGCTTAACATCCTTCCTGCAGCTATTTTTAAGTGTACCTAAAAATGTAGGGAATTCTGTTTAGTCCATTAACCTGTAAATGTTTGTGAAGTCATAGGCATCACTGTTTCTCTGAGATCCTATTAGGTCCTCATATTTGCTGTTATTTCGTGTTGAAAGCACAAATTATACAAGTTTCTGAGGACGGTACGGAAATATGGACCTAGAAAAGATAATAGCCACCTTAGGCGCATCAATTTTTACGGTAGTAGGGCCACTATATTATCTTATAGCTATATGCGTTAACACGATGTAATAGTACGTTATTCAAACTTCAATCCATATTCGAATTTCTATTTCTATGAACACTATGTAGCACAGTACTCAGAAAATCTTTTAAAGTCCGCCAGCGATATTACTGTTTACTAAGTTTCACGTCGTCAGCTTACAAATTCGTCATTTAAGAAATATTAATTTGTCAAGCTTTCGAAAACCAAACATTTTCAGCATAGACAACCTTATACACCTTTCTTTTTAATGGTAAATACGATAAAATTATGAAATTTGGGAGATTTCATTTAAAAAAAAAAAGAAAGATTTTTGAAGTTTTCTTAATTTAGCATTTAATCTTACTTTTTCAACACCCTGTATAGTTATCAAAATATTATAAAAATTCTATTGAAGTACTTTCTTTTGTCGACATGGTATTAAACCCAAAATAAAAAAATAAAGATTTCAACTTGAGTAGAATCAAAAAATGTGATAATATACAGGATGTTCTATTTTTTTAAAAAATGAAGTTGTGTTTACCCAGGCAACACTGAGTGCCCCGTATATGCAAAACCAGATGACGTTTGTATTTAAGATTTTTTCGAACATCCTGTATATTCTGAGATAAGGTATGGGGTTACGTTATATTGGCCACCATGTACGTGTTTCCGAACATAACCTAAAAGGCCAGGGTGTGTATAATAAAGTTTGGTTTTCACAGGCGCATGCGACGCCTCAGCCAAGCTCTGGGACATCAGGGAGGGGGTGTGCAAACAGACTTTCCCCGGCCACGAGTCGGACATAAACGCGGTGACATTCTTTCCGAACGGGTTCGCGTTCGCAACGGGTAGCGACGACGCGACCTGTCGCCTGTTCGACATAAGGTACGTGGGTGCGCGTTCGCGACCGCCAGAGGGCGCTTTTAACGTTCCGTCTCGTTCCAGGGCCGATCAGGAGTTGGCGATGTACAGCCACGACAACATCATCTGCGGTATCACGAGCGTAGCGTTCAGCAAATCCGGTCGGCTTTTGTTGGCCGGCTACGACGATTTTAATTGCAACGTGTGGGACTCGATGAAGACGGAAAGGGCGGGTAAGTTGACCCTTTGAATACTTTCGGGTATGGTGTGTCTCGAAGTATATCGTCTTGGCTTTTCGCGGATCCCCCAAAAACTAATTACGACCTTCACCAACCGATAACGTATTCATAGGTACGGGACGAGACAGAGGGGAGTCAGCTATATGGTCACCGGCTGATATCAGTGGCTGTTTGAAATAAACCATTTTACCCTGCTTTTGGAGTATATCACTAATTTCTCTGTTATGTCACTTCGAAATTGCTGCAAACAAATTGTGAAAAAAATATTGAAATGAACGAATATTTAATAAGTAGAGGACTCATTAACAAGACGCTGTAAAAGAAACCCGCCTACTTACAAAAACGCCAGTATCCGTGATAAAAGATATTGTTAATAGTGAATTATTGCATAAAAGAAAAAGATATACACTGGCGGGCAAAAAATTTGAATACAAAATTGGAATTACAAATTTTTTGAGAAAAATCGAATCGTCGATCTGGTAGGTGGAAATTTATCTATCCTACTCCACTGAATTTAACATTTTATCTTAAATCTTATTATTATAAACAAGGCCCAATTAATTTTTATTTGTAACTAAAGAAACGAGTAACAATTAAAAATATTGAGAAAACGTGAAAATTCGTGTATTTTCTCCTTTTGCGTTTATAATTATTATTTATTACATCCTGGTCGACGTTATTCCATTCACTTGGGCACTCCTTGGAGCGGGTGTATATCTTCGCATACGTCGTCCCATCTCATCCCACACATGTTCAATGGGATTCATGTCTAATTCCCGCCCAAAACCATAACCGTACCATCACCAGTACAACCTGGGGCATACGTTTCTCCGGGTCTCCTCCATACTCTCCGACGTCCATCTTACCCAGTGAGACAAAAACCGTACGTTGCTGCATTCATAATCGTTCCAGTCTAAGTGATTTCACACAAAAACTAATATGACTTCTCATTTGAATTTTTTTTTTAATCCCACCGTTAAATAACGCTAAATAGACAAAAAAAACAAGTGGTAATCGGACACAGATTGCTCACTTGTAGATTTAGAAATTAAGATATATAGAGCTGAAAACAATATAATTAACATAGATGAAACCAAATGGTTGTATAGAAACTAAAATTAAATGAAGATTAGGTTTTTTCGAAGTTCATTTTGTATATTCGTCAATTTTTCCTTTCCTAGAATTTGAAAATAAAATCTTAAATAAAGGGTGCCGCACTTAAAAGAATTCAGAACAAAATCTAATTTTTTTTAAACACCCTGTATGGTCTATCTCAAACGGTATGCTAGGCATGAATGGGTTTAAACCGTGTAACTATTAAGATTTCTTTAAGGGCCCAAATTGCTTACAAATATAGGAAATTATTTTTTAACTTGATGACGGTATAGGAAAAACTAAACAAAAATTAGTTTGTTATTTTATTATTATTATATTTAATATATTTATTAAGTGCGTCTACGATAATTTCCGTTAAAAGCCTAGGCCATATACTTTGAAACAGACTATACATTTCAAATACTTGCCCGGAGGTTAACCTGGACATTATCCAGTCATTTTCATTTCACCTTTTTTTCTGTCAGTTTTATGTTCCAAGGGTCCCATTTGAATAAACATTTTTGGTTTGGGTTTTACGTTGCAAAAACGATATATTTGTCGCCCCATTTTCTATCTATTAACATAAAATGAATGCGAAATTTTCTAGTTTTCAGTCGGCTCACTTGTTTTGAGTATTTTTTGATTTTTCGAATGGTTAAATTATGGGTAATAATTTTTTATTATTTTTTTTTTTCTAAATAATTTTCGCTCACAATCAACATTGACTTCACGTCATGGACAAATTTTTCTTATTGGCATTTTTCATTTTATTTTATTTATTTTTCGTTATTTTTTATGTATAAAAAATTATTTTAATGAAAAAAACTTGGAGAGGTCGGATGTAGATGTAGATATTATTTTAAATGATTCTTTGCTTTTTTTCATTTGAATATTTACTTTTTGTTTTTTTTTTTCTGGATTATGTCAGTTTATTAACTACATTTAACAAAACTGTTTTTTAAAATAATTTAATGGTAATAAATCATTTACTCAAGGAAAAATTTGATGATTGCACTAGAAAGAAGAGAAACGTCAATTTAAGTGCAATTAGAGGGCACCTGTGATTTGTCGATTTTTAAAAACACTACTATCCCGTTTCTATTTTTTTTTTGTATTTTTCAGGTATTTTGGCCGGTCACGACAACAGAGTAAGTTGTCTGGGAGTGACAGAGAACGGCATGGCCGTCGGCACCGGCTCGTGGGACAGTTTCTTACGTATTTGGAATTAAGGGCGGAATCCGAGCGGGGATTTAAAAAAAAAACAAAAAAAAACAAAAACCAACAATGCCAAATTTTCGTGTTTCATTCTCACCTGCATCACACGGTAGACACGGAAGCATTTAAGAACTAGATACACTATTTTGCCATATTAGGTATATTATATATTACGCATTTTTTTTAAAGCAACTTAGTGATGTATATTTCGTTTTTTTAAGGATCTTGTGCTTTGGTATATATACATATGTATATACATAGATATATATACTTTTTTTTTGCTTCTCCACTTCTCACTTTCGTTTGTTGATATTTTTAGCTTGTGATGTAATTTTCGTTTCATCTCTTTTTAGTTTTAGGTTTTTTTTTGTGATTTATCCCCTTCGCCTCCCCAACCCTAAAATAATTTTATCCAACGCTCCTACATGTTGTATAGTATTTGTAAGTGTTATTTAATTTAATAAAAAAAAACAAACATTCAGTATTTCGTTTTTTTTTTTTCTATGTGATGTAGGTGAGAAAACCGCGGGCAAAAAAGAATCCAACCCCCTCCGGTCAGTAAATTTCGTTTCGTCATAGTACAAAAACAAAATACATCTAAAAGTTGACCAAATAGAGAAAAGCGAGTCGCGTAATTTTCCGCTAGTGTTCCTTATTGTTTTTCTAACGTTTTTTCCGGGAAATGTCTCGCGGAGCGAAGACCGACAACGTAGGGTTGGTTTAGGTGAGGGGGCGTTGCCCGACGCGTCACCGGGAGCATGTGGGGAGGGGGGTAACTAGTCAGCCGATTGGCGATGCGCGGTGCCATAGCTTCGTAAACGGGGCCCCGCCCCCCATCAACGGCGAAACGAATTACAAGAACATCAAGCGCGTTTTGCACAAAAAAAATCGTATTTTTTAAGCAAGTTTCTTTGGCGACGCTTGGTATTAAAAACTGAAAAATTCGGTTTGTCTTTTTGTTCTTTTTTGTCCAAATTTCATGAAATCGTTTTCGGGTTTTAGTCTCTTCGTGAAAAAAAAAAACATGTCAAACATGTTTTTCGTTTCCTATAGCGCAGCCTAGTGTGCCAATCTTATAGGAAGCGCATGCGCACGTATAGTTCCGTTCCCCGAGCGGTTTACGCACCTTCCCTACTTTTTTTTAATTTTATTTATACTGTTAAGGAGATATCTACATTATGGGCCTATATCATAGGGGTATTTTTTCCGAAAAAACTGATAATTAAAAAATAATTATATATTTTACTCAACGGTAATTCCGTTCGAATTAATATAACCAGAAGGTGAATATTGATACCAAGTAACAATTATTACTTATGAAGTCTTTTTCTGTACATTTCCTGTTCAGGATTAAACGTTACTCCCCCGCACGCGCTGGCCGACTGCCTAGTGGAAAAGCCCTAGAAAGGGAAAGAAGAAGGATTAAATACGACCGCGGTTGCATAAGTTTACGGAACGGAATACAAATAAACAAATTTCCTATAGTGCCAGCGTTAATCCTATAGAAAACGGAAATATGCAAGGGACGCAAAATCATAATTGTTTCAATATGGTGACGTTCGTTTAAGAAAGAAACTTTTTTAAAAAATGCATTTTGTTAGTGCCCGTGTCATATACCCGCGTTGACGAACGGGGCGGGGTTCGTTACGACCTTCAATTGACCCCCGGGCCGAGGTGACCCGCGCGGGCAGGGCCCGTTCAAGGGACGAAAAACGACCAACAGCTTTTACGCGGACAGAGCACTAGTTTCGAATACTGCCGAAAAGTCGTTTTTGAAAATACATTAATAATTAAAAAAAAAACGACTCTCCAACATTTTTTTTGTCACGACGGTCGTGTTCTTTTACCGTAAGCGTTACGGTACTAGGACGTTCTCAAAATGTACATTCGTTTCTTTGTTTTTTTCTCTGTGAAAATTTACCAATTAGGTCTTTTACCGTAACACATAAGCTTCAGCTTGAATGACTGTGCGATGAGTTTGTTTTTCGATTTTCCATGGAGCGTAAAAATAATTAACAAATAGTCTGCCCTATTCTCGTTTTTTCCGTGTTTTTTGCACAACCGCGTTAGACGCGCGCCGGGAGGAATTCGTCGGGGGTTAGGTTGCGCGTGCGCCACATTTTACAACCCTCTCGTCGATAATAATCTCCGAACAATTCCGTCCCGTGCGACGCGAGTGTATATTTTTTTTAATTATTTATTTAAACATTGTGAGTGTACTCTGTATATATGAGGGGGCCCCGGGGGAGCCGTGGATCGGGGGCGGCGCGAGACCGCGCGCGGTCTAGGAATACCCACCCCACGAATAATTTTAAATTTGCATCGTCCACCCCGTTAGGTGGTACAACGGGCTGGACCACGATGCGACATTTAAGGGCTCAAAAATTATTGGCGGACGCGTATTTCGCATAGTCATTTGAACTACGCGCGCGGTTTCGACGCTGCATTTTATATCACTACAAGTCATTCCCCGCGACTCGGGAACGCCCCCTACGGGGGCCGTTCGCGAGTCGACCCCGCCCCCGCGGGGGACTGCGCGAGTGTGTTTTTATATTAAATAGGTAATGTCACATAATATTAAATATAAACAAAAAAAAAACTGTCTGAAGTCGCTATATCGTTTTAAGGTTATTTTCGAGCACGAAAACTGCATGTCGCTCTCATCATTTTGATTATTATCGATTCTCGATAGGCACACCAAAAAAAAAAAACAAACGCCATACTTTCTTCCGGGATGCGCCTCCGCCCGTGTCGCCGCCGAGCGTAAGGGGGGCGGGCACGCGGATTCATTCTAAACGTTTTTTTAGATAAAAACGCCTTCGAAACAAATATTTTCGTCGTACGGTTTACCGGGTTGGCGGAGATACAATCCGGCCCGTCACATTTTTCCATTTCAAAATAAAAAAAAAACGGTGTGTGTGTTCCGGAAAAACGGACCACTTTACGCTGAGGCGTGTTATTTTTTCAGGACAACGTAGTTTAGTCTCGTCATTTTTTTATTGTTAATTTTATTGCGTATGGTGTAATGAAAAATATAGCATATATGTTATAATGTAATGTAAACTACAGAATAAAAAAAAATTAAAATATGTCTCGGGGTTTTATTTGCGGTTGTCGATGCCCTGGTTCTTAACCCATATTATCCCAAGCATAAAAAAAATACTTTTTTTGCTCTGAAATTATTTATTTTGTTGCACTTAAGAATTTACCAGTGTCAAAAAAATAAATAAATAAAAACTCGAAACATACAAAAAAATACTGGTGCCCAAATGAACCACTGGGAAAAAAATATTAAATAATGTTTTGGGGCACATAAGATGTAACATATAATTTATACATAAATATACAAAAGAAAGTTTAAATTCGATAGAAAACAACTAAAAGTAGATTGTTTTCCAAATAGAACCTGATTTGATACAAAAAACGCATAATATTTTATGATGCGTGAGCGCACCACTGGTAACATCCGGTTTCATTTTTGCTGATATTTTACAAAGCATGAAGTGTGTAAATGCACATTACACTTATTACAAACGTAAATTGTGTGGCTGTGGCACATCTCATCTCATCATGAGGTGACCTTGATTATCGTAACGCACTCCACCTATAGCAGGTGCAAGATTTCCTTGAGTAATTGTTTTATCAGTTTTTAAAAGTCGCAAAGCAATGTAAGATTTAAAATCAAATCAATCACTTCGTCATCAAAAAACATAAAAAATATTTCAAGCGGAGTTTTTCCAGAAAGACTATTTTTTAGCTCCTCACATGATCTAAATTCATCATATACGTGTGGGAGTGTACTCAATCTGACCTTTCTTCCATTTAACAGTAGAAGCAAGCCTGTCGTTTGCAGAAAACATACGTCTTCTGTTGAATTCCAGGGTTTCATCATCTGATAAGTCCCATTCAGGTTCAGTAGTTTATGAAGTTGCAAATATATCAGTTAGTTCCCCAAACTCTTGTAGATTTATATTATCGTTCATATCTTCTTCGTCAGTCAAGGTATCCACGTCGGGTGGAATATAGACCGCGTCAATATGTTCTGTAAATATTTTTTCACGTTATTTTTAGCATAAATATACAAGGAATGAAATGCTACAAATAGATAAGAATACGTAAATCGAAATAATAATTACGACTATCACTGTTATTGTCCTCCTCCATAGCGGCCTCTAATTAATTTTGAGTCAAATACCTCGGAAATGCCATATTTTACGAACTGTACCGTTCACTGCACAAGGCACAGACTAATACTAAAGAATACGCTAATTGTTGGATGTTTATTCTACATGTGCTGACTTGTCTAGACTTGCAATAAACAAAGCTTTGTTTCACAGATAAAACCAGCGGCGCATTCACGCACCAGTAAATATTTTCAAAAAATAAAGCATAATCAATATAGTATTTTCAATGTACGTTTTTCGCGATGAAATCTACACGCTATAGACTTAACAAAAATGGCAATACAATTCCAAAATATTTTTTTTTTACTACTTTGAATTTACTTGAAAATGAAAATGAAAAATTTATGTACCGCTTTTGTTAACTTTTGAAGTCATATAAGATCTTTCCTTTACACATAAATTAGCGATTTCTACGGTTTTATGTCATTTAGTAGTTATAATAAATAATAAAAAGTATTTCCTGGGACAAAATGGGTTAATGCGAGAGAGTTATAAATATTTATTGAAGTGTAAAACTCAGTCGTCTTAGCACTATTGCATAGACGATTGTCGTGGATTCCGAGAGTGGGCGGGTAGGCGAACGTGTAGTTGGCCTATAACTATTAGAATTATAGTTACTTCCGTTCCTGACTTTGGAGGTCTTGATGGACTCTAGCCTACGCGGGATACATTGGAAACTATTTAAAAGTTATCTTGCGGAAAGAACGCAGTAAACAAAAATTAATAATACCAGTTTAAGAAAAATATATTTCCTATGGCGTCCCCATGGATCCGTTTACGGCCAATATAATAACATATAACAGCAGCTTTCTTCGTTTTGCGGACAACCAAGTTAACCTATACGAAGATGATTTTTAAAATCCAAGTGGAAAATGACTTCGGTAAACACATGAGTTAGTTTCAACTGTGAATGAAGAAAAAACAGTTCCTATGCCATTTTCGTGCAATGCACGAGGTTTGCCAAATTTTAACATTTTAGATATATGAACACCAAATGTTAACACGATTATGCATTGCTGCAGTCACATTAAGTAGATTAGACATATATTAATTTATAAATTGTGTATAAAAATGACTGCAAACATCTGCAAATGTGATCCCGGATTTTTGGGGAAAATTGTCATTGGTTTATTTTATCGATCAACTTTGAATGTGATGTATTATATTTAATTTATAATTATCATTGTCTACTAGGTAAGCCTATTCTTATTATATGATTTCCTGCAGTTGGCAAACAGAAACCCCCACAGAAATACGTGCTCTGGGCAAAATAATGTCTGAAAGAGTAATTTTAAAAGTAAATGAACTTGCGTTACGAAAACACTAAAAAATAAAAAATCACACGCAGTTAAAATAAAGGCAGCGGACTGTCAAATGTGGAGTCAGTGCGTTTGATTACAAATAAGTGTGTATAATAAATAGTTAATTTTTTAAAATAATAAATATTACAATTTATCTATTTTATTATTCCAATTCAACATATTTTTTATTCAAAGAAACTACCTCTAATAACGTCACTGTCATATTACTTTTATTCACCAAACTGGTCTGTCTACCGTATGTAAATTAGAGTGTGACCTTAATTTAGTACCGATTTCAGATGTAGGTCTTAAAAACCGAAATACTAAATTTAATTATCATTGCATCTTTCTCATATAATCTTTTAAGTTATCTACCCTGTTCAATGCTCCCTGTCATTGGAAATTTACATTTTATTACTAACTCCCATTAAACTGGATAATTTTGATGACCCTTCCTGGATAGACTGTTACGCGTACTTAGGCTTCGTGGCAATGTTTCGCCAAACATACGAGCCCTAACAAGTAATTGTTCGGACGATGTACGAAATAACAATAACACATATTTATACTTATTTTAAATTGTTTTTTTTTGCCTTTTCGATTGAAAAATGATATCAAGCACTTATTTTTATACCAAAAAGTGTTATCGTAATGAATTATTCTTTTATTTCACATAAATTACATAACAAAATATCAAAAACATACCGAATTTGCTGACAAATAAATATGCGGACGCATTTAAATCTTTTACTTTAAATCGAACATTAATAAGAAGTAACATCATCTATCGCGGCAATAACAGCTTTTATGCGTTTTGGCATGGAATCTACCAAAGTCTTGCAATATTCCGGGGTGAAAGTGTTCCAAATTTCGGTGATTTTTGGCTTTAATACTGGAACTGTACGCTAAGGATTGTTACGCAAAATCTTTTTCATCCGATGCGATAAAGTTTCAATAATATTCAAGTCGGGGCTACTTGATGGCCACGATAAAACTTTCATATTATGGTCCCCAAATCACTTTTTTGTTGTTTTCGCAGTATGGCAGGACTTGCAATATAAAATTTTCATTTCCAAAAGTTCGTTCTATTGGTGGAATCAAACTTCTTGATTATATTTGTTGGTATTTTTCTGCCTTTACAGTACCATCAATGAACTTGTAGTTGCCAACCCCTTTACCACTCATACACCCCTGTATCATAACACCCTGGGGAGATTTTACCGTGCGCTTTAGACAATCTTTGTGAAAGGCTTCTGATTTTGTACGAATCACCCTTTTTGCGAAAATCACCTACACACACATCAAATTTTGATTCGTCGCTGAAGATAAGGTTACTCCACGTTTCCGTTGTCCAGGATATTTTAAATTTTGCCCAATTCAAACGTTTTTTCTTCTGAATAGACGTTAATAATGGTTTTTCCGTTGCCTTTAACAAAAGTAGATCATAGAATATTAATAATTTTTATATTGAAACAGGAAAAATTGTAAACTTACCTTATAAAAACTCAAACCAGACTTATGCATCCATTGTCTACAACATTCCCGGAGACATTTAAGTTTGCCTCGTGATTCCATTGGGCTTGAATTTGTCGTAAGACGCTTCGTCTGCTAGTTTTACAAATTTTTACCAGAATATGACGATCTCTTTCAGTGATTTTACGGGGTCGGCCTGAACTTTTACCACGAACGCTAACACTAGCTGTCTTTCCATACTTTTTTATAATATCCCCGACTGTTGATTTTGCAATACTCAAGTCATTTCAAATTTTTTGCATTGATTTACCTCTGCACTACTGAGATATAATTTCTCACACTTTTTTGTTTGTTGCAACACCACGCGTCATTTTCTTATCAACTCTTATACAAACTTGAAAGAGACAACCGGAACTGACATCTCACTTATCTAAGCACACTACATTTTACCATCAATGCATGGGGAGCATTGATTTCTTAGTCAATAAACATTCGCGTCCGGATATTTATTTGTCAGCAAATTTGGTATGTTTCGTTATTTTGCTACGTAATTCATGCGAAATAAAAAATAATTCATTACGATAGCACTTTCTGTGCTATCGTTATGAATTATCATTTAGTTGTTAGGGCTCGTACTACTGGCTTCTTGAGAGCGCCGTCTGTCAGTTCGAGGCCACAGCCTGTCAAGGTTGTTTAAAAAAAAATGTTACCTGAGATTTATTTATTTTTATCAAAATCAACAATGTGTCAAAGTTTTTGTAACATTATAGAAAAAAGTGCGATACTGTGCAAAGAAATTAGGCTCTAAGATAGTGGGAAGCTTGTCGTCCGTAATTATCTTTTAAAGTATCATTAGCATCATGCTCAATGAGAAACTTATAAACAGCTTTAAGATTTTTCCTAGCAGCGCAGTGTAACGCACTCCATCCGTTTCGATTTACAGAGTTAATATCAAATTGTAGTTCGTTTAACACATACTGCACTAGGGCGACATTGTCGACTGTAGCTGCCAAGTGCAAGAGATTAAAATCGCTGTTGTTTCTGCAAGTGATATCGGCGCCTTGTTGGATTAAAAAACGACACATGTCCAAGTTCTGACCTAGCAAAGCTAGATGCAGTGGAGTATTTCCAGAAACATCTTTTGCTCTAAGCAAATCATTAGTGTAATTCAAAAGTTTTTCTACCACTTCCAAATTTCCGTGTAAGACAGCTATGTGAAATGCGGTACAACCATTTTTGGTCTTTATGTTGTAATCCGCTGAAGAGAGCAGCAATTTCTTGACTATTTCTACATTTCCTACCCTTGCTGCTAGGTGTAGGGCCGTCCATCCATCTTTATTTTGGCAATTAATTAAAGTCTTATGACCTTTTAATAAAAGATAGCATAGAAATCTAAACTGTTCATCATCTTTGGTTACTTTTGCACACGCAAGCATTAACGGTGTCCAATCTCCTCCCTTAATGGCGTTCAAATCTGCACCCATCGTAATAAGAAGAGTGCAAATATCATAGTGCGAACTCTGCAATGCTTCATGCAAAGGAGTTTTGTTCAGCTTGTTCCTGCAGTTGACAATTATAGGCGGGCACTCACACAAAAGGTACTGGACAATGGGTTTATGTCCTTGCTTGGCTGCTATATGCAAGAGTGTATCCCCAGTTGTTTCGTGACAAATATTACTCCAGTGAAAATCAATCTCATTCTCCAAAATAACTTTTAAGCTATCGATACAGCCTTGATTAATTTCCTTTAATATTCTGTTAATTTCTTTACTAGGGAGTACGTATGGATCCTTCTTGGGGTCTCTTAGTAAGGCTGTTCTGTTCCAGTTCGTTTCCATATTTCGCAGGTAAATGAAAAATGACAGAATACTTCTTACTTCTGAACTACTATGAACATTTGAACTACTGAACATTCATTCCACTTTTAAACTATGACAATAATTTCAATATTTGGAAGTGTATAGAGGAAGTGTAAACTTCGCAGCAAATACAAATATACACATTTATCAATAATAATGGAAAACAATGCTTTGGGCGAAGATAGGTTGAATGAAGATAACACGGAATTCTTCATAAATTTTTCTACCGAAGTGCAAAAGGCCATAGACGAGGTAAATAATAATACAACCATACAAACTATGTACGAGGGCGCTTGATTTAGGTTTTACCTGGTAGAGATTCGTTAGACGAGCCAGATTTCAACAGTATAGACTACATCAACTCGCTATTTCCAACTGAACAGTCTTTATCAAACATCGACGAAGTGGTAATAAAAATGGAAAATCGGATTCACACTATTGATAATGAAATATCAACAGTTATCCGTAGTCAAATAGAAGCCAGCGAAGATGGCAGGCAAGCATTAGATGAATCTCAAAAAATTATTAAACAGTTATTTGTACACATAAAAGATATTAAAGAACGTGCAGAAAAATCTGAAGAAATGGTACGTGAAATAACCAGGGATATCAAGCAGTTGGACTGTGCTAAACGTAATCTTACTCTAGCCATAACCACGTTAAATCATTTACATATGCTAGTGGGAGGTGTAGATACCCTGAAATCTTTAACACAGAAAAGGTTGTATGGAGAAATAGCTTTACCGTTGCAAGCTATAAGTGAGGTTATGACCCACTTTGAAAACTACTCTGATATACCCCAAATTAAAAGTTTGAGTAGCCAAGTGAACTCCATTCGTTCGGAATTGGCACACCAAATTACTCACGATTTTAAGGAAGCATTTTTAGGTAGCAATTCAAAGAGCATGATTCCAAACAAGCAGCTAGCCCAAGCTTGTCTCGTGGTCTCCATTTTGGATCCAAAAGTAAAACATGACCTCTTGAAATGGTTTGTAAACTTACAACTTCAGGAATACAACCATCTGTTCCAAGAAACTGAAGACACCGCCTGGTTGGACAAAATGGACAAGCGATACGCATGGATTAAAAGGCACTTGTTAGAATTCGAAGAGAGGTTGGGTGGGTACTTGAATTATTTTGTTGCGGGATTACGAGGAGTGCCGGTTTTGTTTCGTAGGCAACATGTTCCCTGAAAATTGGGAAGTCTCTGAACGCATAGCAGTGCAATTTTGCCATGATACAAGGGAAGAACTTTCGAGGCTCATGGCGAAAAGGAAAAGCGAAATTGACGTTAAATTGTTACTCTACGCGATTCAGAAGACTTCCGCTTTTGAGACGTTGCTGTCAAAGAGATTTAGAGGTGTCACTATAGAAGATAGTTCGAGTCCCAGCCAGCGCACAGAAGGAGATTTGAATACTTCCAAGTTTCATGGTCTAATAGGTAAGATCCATAAAGTGAGTTTGTTGTGCTCTACAGCAAGAACCCACTGATTCCAGGTAGATGTTTTATTCCTCATCTTGAGATTTATATAGAGTCAATCGATAGGAACCTTGCTGACCTTATCGATCGTTTTATACAGGACGAGAAGCAAACAAAGCCAACTGAAGCGACTGAAACGCAAGCGGCAATCTTATCCTCTTGTCCCGACCTGTTTGTTTTCTATAAGAAAAGCATGATTCAATGTTGCCAGCTTGACAGGGGACAATCAATGTTGAGTTTGACGGCGGTGTTTCAGAAATATCTGCACGAGTATGCTGAAAAGTTGCTGACGAATAACCTGCCCAAATTCGAAACACAAACGTTGGGCAGTTCAGTGCAAAGTTTCACAAAGGATTTGCAAAAAATGAGCACCACAGGCTTGATACAGAACTTTTCGTCATTACTAAAGGAGGGCGAAACAACACGGTAGATTTTATTTGAAATGTTAGACATTATATTTAAAATCATGAAAAGAGATCCCCAAAAATTGAAATTAATATACAGGGTAGTCTAAAAAATTAAAATTAACATTTATGCATAATCACAGAAAATTTAGTAGGTCCATAAACAAAGCAAAAATATTCTGACGCATATAGAAATGTGGACGCAATCCCGGCCAAAAATTTAGCGGGAATAATTCAAATAAAAAAATTGCTAAAATTCTTTTTCATTTTAATATTTCAATTTGACTTGAAAAATAATTGTTAGAAAATTCTAAAGTTTTCCTTTCTGAAAATATTTTAATTATTATTTAAACTTATGGAAAATTTAAGTACAAAACATTTATTATCACCTGTTGGATCGAGTCTTTTCCTTTACGTTTTTTTATTGAAGGACCACGTGATTGTCAGGAATTAAAAACTTTTCCCAAGTTAAGGACAACTAACACGTTTATTTACGTTTAGCACCGCCACCACGGGAGAATAAATTCGCGGATAAACGCCTACTTGACGCCAATTGTACACACAGCGTTGCCACTTCCCTTACCGAAAAACGATACAAAACTTAATATTACTCAATTAAAAAAAAAACATTTTCAGCAGCAGCGCAAATTACCACAGGATTTTTTAATTTAACCGTTCTTGGGATTCCTTGACTAAAAATATTAATGTAGTTTGCAAGCCGGAAATGTTAAAAACCATACTTTCGTTGAAAAATTCTGTATGTATATTAATATAAAATTGCCTGTTTCTAGGCAATATAGAAACGGTTATCTCAGGAAAAATTATTGACAAACGCATATTTTTAACGTAAATCCGAATGACATAACACTACTTAAAAGAAATGTCAATTTCGAAATGACATTTCTGAAAATAGCCAGAATAAACCTGCAACTCGGGTATAATGGTCACGTAGAGTTCTCCAAACGATAGACCGTTTTTATAACCTTTTACGGTTTTGACTTCGGAATGAGTTTAAGATCCGCCTGTTGTAAAGTGGACGGGACCATTCTTTTCAGCACGTCTACCACAAGCCAGGGCCGTATTTCAGATGTTAGCCGACAAGAACTGTGCCGTGCGGACTGATGTATTTTAAGAGCAGTAGGTTGATCTCCTATATTCAAAACACATTAGAAAACTTAGACTGAATTCCAATTTAAGGGTTTAACCAAAGAGTGTAAGATAGAGGGGAAGGCTCCCATTAGTGGCAATGTTAAAAATTTACACGAGTTTCAAAGCCTCTAGTGATTGTGTCCAGTCATGAAAACGGAAAACGCGCGGGACGTACGGTTCAATTCAATTTAAAGATTGAAAGGTAAACTGTGACAAAAAAAATGTTGAAATAGTTTTAATTTTTTTTTATAAAAAATATAAATAAAATGCTGTTATCCATTACAAGTTACTGTAGTATTTTCAGTGTGACGCATTACTTTAAACGGCCATGACAGTACTTTAGCACTTGGACACAAATAATAGATGGCATTCGTAACATTATACGCGACCTTCCCCCCTATCTTATACTCTTTGGATTTAACATAACGACTCTAAAATATTTCCCTAGGAAACCAATACAAAATCTTATGTAGGTAATTGATTTATAATAGATGTTTTCCCGGTTTGCTTTATTTATAATAAACATTTTAAAGAAAGAATAGATTTTTCACTACATGGACTAATAATAATCGAGGAATTTTACCGATGAAACTCTACACAAATCCGTCAGCTTTCAGCATTTCTATGAACGAACTCTTGGAGTACGGCTGCAGAATTGCGACTCCATTTATTGAGAGTTAGAAAGGGAAACCCAAGCGAGGTAGGATTGCGATTAAAATATAATAAATAAAAATTTACCGGATTATGTCGTAAAAACGGCATATCTTTTGGAGAACTCTAACCAGGTAATGATGTACTAATGGCGTTTACCTGATATTTTCCGGTTGGCATTTCTTTCTTTGGCCAAGGCGTTCCATAAATTAGCTTCGATGCGAAGTTAATAATACTGATAAACATGTAGGTAATAAAGCTTTTTGTTCAAGTCATTGTTACCTTAGTCGTTAAGATGCCAGACCATTTATTAGACAGTTACTTGATAGGATAAATTAAAATTAATAATTTAAATCTTAGGAGTGTGTAGAACTCAAAATAAACTTCACTATTCTATCAAATGAAATTTTAGCATTTAACCATTACTCATAGATTTACCAGAGACGAGCAGACGAAGATATGTTGTATCCTAACGACAGCCGAGTATTGCTTAGAAACCACGCAACAGTTGCAGGACAAGCTCAAAGAAAAGATCGAGCCGAATCTAGCGGACCAGATAGATTTATCGAAGGAGCAAGATCACTTTCACAAGTTCTGCTACCACTTCCTAAAGTTTTGTTTTTTTTTAGTAACTTCCATTTTAGGGTTATATCGAATTGTATCCAGTTGCTGGTACAAGACCTTGAAAACGCTTGCGAACCCTCTCTGACGGCTATGAGTAGGATTCAGTGGCAGAACATAGACGCGGTCGGTGATCAGAGCCCCTACATCACGTCTATAACCACCCATTTAAAAACGACGGTGCCCGTGGTCAGAGACAACTTGGCCCATTCGCGGAAATACTATACCCAGTTTTGTATCAAGTTCGCAAATAGTTTTATACCAAAGTTCATACAAATTATCTACAAGTGTAAACCAATCAATACGGAAGGGGCAGAGCAATTGCTTTTAGACACTCATATGTTGAAGACGGTTTTGTTGAACCTGCCCTCAATAGCTTCCGCGATTAATCGTCAAGCGCCAGCGGCGTACGCAAAAGTTGTTACCAAAGGCATGACGAAGGCGGAGATGATTTTGAAGGTCGTGATGACGCCCATCGATCCGCCCAAAAATTTCGCGGACCAGTGCCGGGTGTTGTTGCCAGAGTGTCAGTTGACGGAGTTTTGTAAAATTTTAGAAATGAAGAGCGTCAAGAGGCAAGAACAGGCCGTTTTAATAGACGCTTTTAAAAATAAAAAATAAGGTGTTCAGTGCGGAAGGAGGCAATATTCTATAATTTATTTTTGATAAACGGCCCAGGTTATTTGACGGGTTAGTTTTGTGGAGTTTAATTCTCTTGCATATTTTTGAAAAAGTCAAGAAAACGCATTATTTAGTAACGTCATAAGAGAATAAGGTCAAACAGTTGGCACCAAGGGATAAGGCTTTTCTAAATTCTATAATATGGTGAATTATGTAAGGCTTTCGTCTATGAAGATCATTTTAATTATCTCTTAATTATTCTAAGATAATTACTGGCAGTTTTGTTTTCATCACACAATATTAGTTTTAAAATTTTGGGAACCCCCTATACATGTTAACAAGATTTTTTTACGAACTATTGAGGTCATTGTCAATTTAACCTATGACTATTGCTTTGTTATGCGACCTTAACTCATATCAAGATTGTGAGAATAATAATTATAATTTGGGCTTTTTTTATGGGGGTACATGGGGCACGGATTTTTTTTAGTAGGTCAAATTAAAAATCTAATTTATCTAAATTTGGAGACTGCTTTAAAGTTTATGTACCTACTTCGGGCTAAGTACATTGGCAAGGGTTCACATTTTATTTCAAGGATATCAAATATATAAGAATTAGCTGCCCCAAAAAACTTACTTGCAATCAATTTTTTCCACTATCAAATAGTCTGTTGTATATTTCTAAAAAATATGTTAATACTTGAATTATATTTGGTTCAAATTTGTTTTAATATTGTTTTATTTTATTAATTTTTGAACCTGTCAAAACATTCTTTAAAAAAATTATAAAATGCAATGGTATCATGCTAACATTTCGGTCCTAAATCTGTAAATAATTCCCATATATTTTGCAAGCCATTAGTGATAATAAATCATTTACCCAAGAAAGTGGGTATTCCTTATGCATTAATTCTTTTTATATTCAATTCTTTCAACTTTCACATCATCACCAACCAGCTGATACACATAAGTGACCACCGTTGTGTTTTGGATGTCCATCAACACGAATGATGGAGTTATAAACCTGTAAAAACCAGACTTCGCCTTTATAACTCTATAATATAACAAGTAACTCACGTATCTAAAGCATTATAGGATCCGGTAGCAGATCCAGGGTTGATGTAGAATTTGTTTTCATGTTCATATGCCTCGAATTTGTGGGTATGTCCGGAAATCAAAATATCTACATCCAGCTGCCTTTGAATTAGCGCTAAAGATTCCGGGTCACCCCAAGGAACCACCTGGTGTCCATGGCACAATCCTATACGAAACTGTCCCACTGTTACCACTTTTTGTTCTGGATAGTTTAAATTCTAAAAATAAATGGTCAGCCCCGTATGCCTAGAGTGATTTACGAGAACAAACGTCGTCAAAATCTCCCCTGACGACGTGGACATCAGAAGCTAGAGTCTTTAAATAATCATACGATTCTTTCGTACAGAGATTGCCGGTACACAATATGTGCTGAATCCTGCCTGGCACCAAAAGTTTCTTAAACTTAGCCGGCAAATTGCTACATCTATGTGGAATGTGAAGATCGCCCAACACAAGTACTAACTAAAAACCAAATTAAATGCGTAAAGGACATTTTCACTATTTACGTTAGTAAAACTGCAAATTACCATCTTATAGTATTAGTATGAATAAATAATTAACTATTAATAAACTTATAAACAATTTGTAAAGGCGTTTTAACAAAAACTTTGGCCATAATTATTCTTCTTTCTATACCATAGGCAATGCACCAGTGGGTGTAACGTCCTCAAATTGAAGAAAATGAAGTTGAAAATGAAGCTAACCTATATAAACAGTATTTTATAAGCAATTTCCAGTGTTATGAATATTCGACATGAATACCATAATACCTGCAATGAATGCTAAAAGTAAGCACTACCACAAATAATGTCACAGTTGATCTGACGTATGTCATATTTTAGTATTGGGGAGACAAATTCAAGCTTTGGCTAGAATTGGTGACGAACTTTTTATAGAGGCTAGACCAGAAAAACTGACATTTATCACATATAATCAATGCAAAACGATATGCGGTCAGTTCGATCTTTTGGAAAGTTTCTTCTCCCAATATGACATAAATCTAGAAAACCCTAAAGATCAGGACACATCTGTTTTATGTAAAATTCACATGAAAACTCTGCTACCAGTTTTCAAAGGAACGAATTATGAAAAGAAGGTATGACTTTATCCTTTAAGACAATGTTTTAATCATTACTTTCTTAGTTGGACTACATGAAAATGGAATATGTTAATAATAGTGATCTTATGGTTTTCAAAATGAAATATAAGTGTGATGATATTGTATTGGTACATAAGCTCACCCTTATGGAACCCGAGATTTTTCAGCTTAAAAAGAAAACAGATAGCAGCAACAATAGTGTCTGCGCACCGAGTAGTTTTTATAATCAACTTTTGGCTATGTTCAGTAGCTCTGATGATGATATAACATTAGAAGTTAATAAAAACAAGGTCATTGTTAGAAACTATTGCTTAGGTACTTTGACTCATTTTCTGGTGTTTTTGCTAAAAAGTGCCTATTTTAGGAGCACCAGTTAAGCCCAAATCAGTTAGAAGTCAGATTAATCTAAATGGTTCAGAATTTTCACTGTTTAAAATACAAACTGAAACGACTGTCAACTTTTCTTTAAAACCCTTTCGTAGTGCTGTCCAATTTGCAGATGCGTTTAATTTAAATCTAGGAATTAATTTCGATAGAGGCGGCAGGTAAATATCTGTAAAAGGGGGGGAATTTGCATGATGAAGTATTTTCAGGCCATTAACAATCTTCATCACAAATCCAACATTCCAAATGGAATTTGTAGTGTCCACCCTTGATCCTACTACTGAAGCACAGTCAACAATGACAACAAGCTCATTAGCTACCAAAATAACCCAGGTCAGTACAAATGGTTTGCATAATATCACATGTGAGGACTTGGAAGCAATCGCTAATGAGGATTGGGAAGAGTTCAATATGGAATTGGAGAGTAACAAAAAAACCAATCCAAATTCATGCAAGTCAAGCGAATTTTCTGATTTGTTAAAGGAAGTTAGTAAAAAGGTTGACAACTTCAGTGATTCAAATTTATCAGAAAATAAAAAAATGAAGACAAATAAAAAAATTAATATTTTAAATAGTGCAGTGATAAATAGTGTGAACTTGGACATTGTACCCAGAAGTCCGGAATCTCCGAGAACTAAAAGAGCTAGATTATTGTTTAAAAGGTCTTATGATCCCACATTTCATCCAAATATGTTTGATGATGTTTTAGTGGGAAACAGTGACTCAGAATAAAAATATTGTGATAAAGAATAAAAAAGATCAAAGCAGTCCCCAGTCATATATTATGAACCAGGGTAACAAACAAGCATAATATTTATAGTTTTATTTATTTTGTAATTTTTTGGACATATTTATTAAAGCAATAAAAACAGTTCCCATATGTTTTTGTTTATTTTACAACTTTTCACAGCTCATAACTAAAGAAAACAATTTACATAGAACTTAGTAAATAAATATTCTGCTGAACACATAGAATGGCTAATATATCTTTTTGTTTCAGAATCACATGCTTATTTCCATTTAGCATCAATCCTTTCATGAAGGTTGATAATTACGAACTGAATAGCTGTTAAGAAAGCATTTTCAAAAAAATATGTGCTATCTTTAATTACAGGAATCAATTGCTTTTTTTGTTAGTGTTGCCGTCTTTTAAGTCCCTTTTTGCTTTCTCATAAAAATTGTTCAAACCAAAAGCCACTTTCATATTCTCCTCAGAAAATATAAACTTTGTCAGTTTTCCCTTGCTATCAAAAGTTGGTCTTCTTATCACCTCTTTACCATTTTCAAAAAGTATAACTGTTGGCAGCTGCTGGCTCATGCTACTGTCGCTGACACGATACTTTTTGCCAGCTTCGAGATATCTCCCAATGTCAATTTTACCAAATTTCAAGTTATCTAGGCTATAATCCATACTCAGCTTGGAAAATACAGGGGCGAAATTTACGCAAACAGGATTCCATGCCGTGTAGAATGCAACAAGCCAAATAGTTTTGTCTTTTGCTATCTCTTCAGTCAGACTTTGTTCACCTCTGAAGTATAAAACATTTGTCGGCCCCGAATAGGTCGGTTCAGGAACGAGAAGCGCTCCCACTAAAAATCGTTGCTTAATTCTATTTTACTTTCTATTAGGCATCGAATTACATATAAATACAATTCCATAAATGATGCCCATCAGGTAATCAGCATTGAACCACAGAATGAGGTTAGCCAATTTTATGTATATAAAACTGGAAGACAAGTAGCTTATCATGGTCACACTGCCAGATTTTCTCGTTCGAATCATCACGACTATGAGCAAAAAGAACAAAATTTCCGTTTCTCGCTAAAAATTTTTAATAAATAATTGAAATATAAACAACATAACCTTAAAACATACCCCATCGAATTCGCAGGTATCAGAATTAAAAAGATAATTACATATACCTGGAGTTCGTTTCAGCGTTATATAAGATAAGCTGAGAATAATATTAACTAAATAATAAGGCTTCAAAAGCTGTAAGGCGTCGGCCTTAAAAGACATATTAAATACGCGTCAATTTGACAGCTAAGGTGTTTATTTGATCACGGAATAGTTCTGCCATATACACACCACAGGGAGTTGTAGTCCATGTTTAATTGTTTAACACGTATTTTATCAATATTTGTGAGAGACCACTATTTTTTCAATAATGTTTTCGCAAAATTAATCTTTAATCGAAAAACTTGGAAAATACTTTTCTTCAAAACAATTTTTAGATATGCTTTCAAATGAATAATTCGGCGCGGGATCACTTGTCTGTTGATTGGTCATCACCAGCCAATGCATGTTACGAATGGAATGGCAGTAACTTTTCATTGGTAAACGGAAAGCTTAATTCAATCCTAAAAGGTCACCTTGGAAAGAGCGCATTTTGAAGCAAATCAACTGTGGTCCCACCAGTATTTTCATTTCTATTTCATTCTAACCAGTGAGGCTATCGGAGTGGATCTTTATCGCACTGGGCGTATTAAAAAAATCGTGTGTACATTTTTTCTTGGGGTGTATTTTGGTCTATTTTTCCAAATTTGTGACTGAAAAATTGGTGTAAGTAATCGTTCTGTGGAATTTCTAGAGTTTTTTTAACCAATCTTGACTTTTTTTTCCCAAATTGGCCTAAAATGTTCGAAATCAACGGGCGATTTTGATAAACTTGGCACCATGCCTGCAAAATATTTTTTTTATCCAATTACTTTTAATTTTGGTACTTTATGTAATGTTTTTATTAACTGGATTTAATCCCGCGGTGTTCAAGTGACGCAAGTAAAGCCTGATTATCGCTCATTCGGACCGCTTTTATTAAAAACCATTTTTTTGATTGACTTGTTTTTATCATTTTCCGAATTTTATCGTCTCGGTATCGTCGTAAATAATATTTATTGAAAATGTTTCGAATGTGTAGAATTTTACGCATAGTGATTTATTTTGATGGAAAACGTGTAGATAAGACGCCGTTTGTAATACATAATATTTTATTTTAGTTTGATAAGGCCTGTCCTGAATACAAAATTTATGATTTTTTAGGTTTTAATAGAAAATGTCCCGGGAACGAGCCATGAGCCGCAGATTTTACAGGGGCGAATCGTATTCCAATTTATTGGCATGCATGGACCGGGGACAAATGGCTGAAGAACAAAATCGGTGGACGTTTGAAGTCGCGTGGGAGGCCGCCAATAAGGGTATAACGTCTTCTTTGCCTTAATTTTCAGACATAATTACAGTACCTTGTAGTTGGTGGTATCTATACTGTTATTAGATCGAAGGCTTATGTTTCAACGGAAGAAATGGGAGACCAGTACTGTTTAATTGGGCCCTACAAAGAGCATTGCGCCAGAACGGAAGTAGAAGAAGGGCCCTTGGGTTCAGAACCATTGAACAAAGCAGTTGAAGCTGTTAGAAATAAAGGTTATAAGATTGTCACTGGAAGGTGGCTGGTTGATGGTAACCCACAAATAGTATTGATGGATATTGGCAGTGGCGCTTGGAAATTGGATGAGTTTAAGCAAGAACTATGGGACAAAACAAATATTGGTGTTCCCCACTTAGATATTGAAGCTAATGATGCCATTATTTTAGGTTATATGGTGGCAGATTTCATTTCAGAAGTAATATTTAATTTTTTCCTGTATAAAGGTTAAGTGTTGGTTATTCTCTATTAATTTTAGTTCAGAAACATCGCTGAATACGACGGTGGCGATTCGCAGCCTAAAATCGTGGTGCACTTTCACGAATGGCAGGCTGGCATTGGTCTGATAGCGCTCAGAACGAAGCATGTACGCGTGGCAACAGTGTTTACCACCCACGCTACTCTGCTAGGTCGATATCTGTGTGCTGGCAACACTGATTTTTATAATAACCTCGACAAGGTTGGTATAATTTATACAAATGCTTAAATGATGTACAAAATAAAGACATTTCCAGTTTGCTGTCGACGAAGAGGCTGGAAAAAGGCAGATATACCACAGGTACTGTATGGAACGGGCGGCTTCACATTTGGCGCACACTTTTACCACAGTGTCCGATATCACAGGCAAATTGTTTATCCTTATGCGTTTCGCCTTAAATGTTAGCCGATTCGTTTTTCAGGTTATGAAGCGGAGCATCTGCTCAAACGTCAAGCTGACGTCATAACGCCCAACGGTCTAAACGTCAAAAAATTTTCCGCGCTGCACGAGTTCCAAAATTTGCACGCCCTGTCCAAAGACAAAATACACGAGTTTGTCAGGGGACACTTTTATGGGTAGGTGAGAAATTTGTGATGTTAAACATTCAGTTAAGCCCGTTTTAATACTTAAACGTTGAGGTTAAGTATTCAAAGTTTCATGTTAGTGCTGAGGTTAGGTTAGGATCGCGTTGGCCTTGGTTGTAATTTGGTCTTTGCCATTTGCTTTCAGGCATTATGATTTTGATTTGGACAAAACTTTGTATTTCTTCACGGCGGGGCGTTACGAATTCGGCAACAAGGGTGCCGATATATTCATTGAGGCGTTGGCTAGACTTAACCACTATCTTAAGGTAAGGTCAATTTAAAATTTCAATGGTGGTGAAAACTTGTATAAAATTGGCGAGAAAAGCACAGATTGCTGTCAATAGTTAATCAGCATTCTTCGTATTTGTTTGTCTATCCTGAGATTCACTTATTAAATAATGTATTTTTTTACGCGGCCAGTCATCCCATCCCGATGTCACAGTCGTCGCTTTTTTGATTTTCCCGACGAAAACGAACAATTTCAACGTCGAATCGCTGAGGGGTCACGCTGTGACGAAGAGCCTACACGAAACCATCAACGACATACAGGGAAAGATGGGCAAAAGGATGTACGAGATTTGTCTGAGGTGAAAGTTTCCGCACATGCGCGATTCTGAGCAAATAACCAAACCGATGGGCTTCTAGCGGGAGGCTACCGACCGGAAACGAACTAATGACCAAGGAGGAGCTGGTCAGGCTGAAACGATGCATTTTTTCCTTGCAACGCGACGGTCTGCCGCCCGTCACCACCCACAACATCGTCGACGATTGGAACGATCCCGTGTTGAACTCGGTTAGACGCTGTAATTTGTTTAACACGACCCACGACCGGGTCAAGGTAAGTCGACGACGGTCTGTAGGATACCAAACGCCTGAAATATAAAATATAACTTAACCATAATTGCCACAAGAGTTATAAAAAAATTAGGAATAACCTAAAAAAAAGTTTTAAGCAGTCTGAATGGAACCTTTTACAAAAATTGTAGTATTTTCCATTTTTTGTAAAATATTTAAAAAAAAACAAGACCATATTTAAAAATTTTGCCATAATGTAAAGGAAAAAAGTTACAACGGCGAAATGTTGAACTAGTTTTGAGATATTTATGTAAATAACGTACCAATGGAAATAAAAAGTAGAGCAAATACCAATTCTGTCCAGATGAATGTTGTTGGAGCCTGGTGTATACGGGCGTTCACGTTGAGTATCGTATTGAAAATTCTGGAGACCTAAATAGGAATTTTTTCTAATTTACGATATCGCTGCTCCCGAAAAACAATGCCCAAACTGCACAAAGCATAATTTTTCTAGAGAAGCAAAAACGAAAATGAAATTTTGGTATTTATCCCTAAAACTTTGAATGCACAATTGTGACTTCGAAAATGTTGTATTAGTAATTTTTATATATATAGTAAGTTTTCCTATATGTATATTAAAGATTAATGAAGAATTTAACTCAATTTCCAAAAATTTTACATTTACACTGTTTTCTTTGAATGTCAAATATAAGGGTGGTATTAAAAAAAAAGTGTTTTTACTATTCATTTCAGAAATATAAATGCTTCAGACGTTTCGTAAGACTCATCATTGAAGTCAAGTATTGGTCATTTAAACACATGTATTAACTAATCTCCATAAAATTTTGAAATAACTAGTTCACTAAGGTAAGAAGATATTAAACTCTAATAACGCTGTGTTTTTCTGCAAAAAAATTTAAAGGCAAAGAGAAACTGACAGGGAAATTTTAACCAAAAGTGATTCACAATTTTGCCCAAACCCAGAAAACGTGCTAATATAGACATGGTGTTTCTGAATTTACAATGTCTGGTTCAAATTGTATTGAAAATGCTGGGTGTGAGTAAATATTTCAGAGAGATAGATCATGGCGAACAATGGCCGTGTACCGAATTTGAAAAAAAAACCTATTTGGTCTCTCCCATATACATATTAGATAATAGAGTGGCCTTACTAAGATAAAAATTGATGCGCGGCAGGCGCTATTGATATTTTCATGGAGACAGGGAATGATTTTCCCTGCATGCCTCTACATTTCATCCATTTAACGAGATCTAGGCATATTTTGAGCAAATACTACTGTAAAAATGCCGCACCCAAACTTATTGACGATCTGTCAGCTGCCATGTTGGTTCCTGAATGCCCCAAGGTCATTGGTTACAAACGAGATTTTAAATCTTGTGCATGCGCATATTTTCATGGTTGCTTCAGAAGTCCCTGTATTATCAGCATAGGCTGGTAGCTATATGGGTTCTCCAGAAATTCTAATGGGATTCTCAAGGTGAGTGACCGTTTACAGCAGCTATATAGTATCTTGGTTCCAGATAGTGTTCCATCCGGAGTTTTTAAGCTCGACTAATCCCCTCTTCAGCCTCGACTACGAGGAATTCGTCAGGGGGTGCCACCTGGGCGTGTTCCCGAGCTATTACGAACCTTGGGGCTACACCCCCGCGGAGTGCACCGTCATGGGGATACCGAGCATCACGACGAACCTGTCCGGCTTCGGGTGCTTTATGCAGGAGCACATCGCCGACCCGATGAGTTATGGTGAGTCCCCGAAATGATATTTAACTTTCGTTTTATACAGAGCGGATAAAGATTAATGAAAAAATATAATCAATAATAAGAAAATTGTCGCGAAAAATGACATGTATTAGTACTGTTTCTCGGCATACAGAAATAAATATTGCACACAAATTCAAATTCAAATCTTAGTAAGAAACTTCTATAGGTGTGTCGAGTTTTGTCTTTAAGGTGCAACGTTGTTATTAAAAAAAAGGTCTTAGAACGTTTTGAATCTTTAAATTATATTATTATTATGATTGGTCCCTCACTGCCTAATTTTTGAAATGCTGGAAGAATGGAATAGTTTGAACTATTCAAGCAATTTAATTTTTAGGCATATACGTGGTGGATAGACGATACATTGGACTCGAGGACTCCGTGCAACAGCTATCGAAGTATATGTACGATTTCTGTAGGTTAAGTAGGCGGCAGCGTATCATTCAGAGGAACAGGACGGAGAGGTTGAGCGACATGCTCGACTGGAGAAACTTGGGAGTAGTAAGTGCCCCGCCCCGCTTCATCCATGCGCGACATGTTAATTTTGTCAATAGAAATGAAAAATCGTTTTTTTATATAAAAAAAAGTGTCTATACCTCAATACATATTTCTAGCCGTTAAGTGCTCATCTTCAGCTAACGTCTCAAATAATGTCAATAGAGTAACTAAAGCAGGGGGCTCAAGGTTACTAGTAATATAGAAATTAAAAACTTCTTGAGCTCAAAGAGGTGACTAATATGAAGGAGGTAAAACTACGTAGTTTTAGTGATATTTCTCTCTTCAGTTTAGTACTCCACTTTGAGGAGTGGATTAATTTTTGAATTTGAGTCCTTATTTTTTCAAAGTACTATCGCCAAGCGAGGATGCAAGCCCTGCACAAACTGTTCCCCGACTACGTGGAAGAGATCGAGTCCGCGATCGGAACCCTGAAGTATCCCCGACCGATTTCTGAGCCTCCGAGTCCAAATTCGAGCCAGTTCACCACGCCGGCGGCCTCGGTACACGGCAGCGACGACGAAGCCGACTCGGTGGACTCCGAAGGCGAGGTAATGTCCGAACGCTATCTAAAGCCATTACGTCATCGCGCTAAGCTCCGCCCATACCCAGCAAGATTACAGAGATTACAATAAGTAAAAAAGTTCATAGAAACTTATGTTGTAAACTTGTTTTTGTCTAACCAGTGTAAGATCGGTTTAATTAATTTAAACAATACAAAAAGTGGTGCACTTGCAAACAACATTTTTTTTTCAGAAATGGATTCTATGCAACAAAAATGTCAAGTAATATCATAAAAGACGATTTGTCAAATTTCTAAAGAAATTCACTGGTAAATGTTATGAATCTGACTTTACCTTTATGATACTTTCCTTTAACAATGATTCTCTGCTTCCTACACTAAAATACACAATTTTGCAGTAATCAGGTGTGGGAAAACTGTCACTTTAAAATGTCAACCTCACGTGCCACTCATTTTGTAAAATTATACCCAAAAGTATTATCATTAACTTCTTCAGGCACTCATTTGCAACTAATTAGTGTATAATTGGGTATTTTAGAGTAGAAAGTAAAAAATATATTAAAATGAAGGTCATCGTAACACTAAAGTCGGATTCATAACAACAGTGTATTTCTTGACAAATACCATAAATTGGTTTTTTGCCGATTACAGAGCTCTCCAGCAAGAATCCAAAGGAAACAAATTCTGAGTTTGAAAATGGAAAAAAATGTGGGTTTCCATTTAAGATTTTAAAGTTGCTCCTCCCTACCATAAGTGTGGTGAAGGGGGTGGGGAGGCATCTTTTTTAGTATTATTGAATATCGAAGTAATTTTTTGACCCATTATATGATTCTCGAGTATTCCATTCCTATACTTTTTGTTTGTCTTTATTTCAGCTGGAAGAACTCAAAATCAACCATCACAAGTAGAAAACAGGATCCGCCATATTTTTTTATAGGTGGTACGATAGGTATCTAAACGTTCTTCCTCTGATTTCCAAGAATACTCACCGTCGACGTTTGGAATATAATTAGGGCCGCTGATTGTTAAATTTTTCCTAATTTTATAATTGAACCCTAAATATTGATATATATTGTTTTGTCAGGAACCCTACGAAATATGAATTTTAAAGCCAAAACTTTGTCTATAAAAATATTTTCGTATTCCTTAATAAAATCTTTATTTTTCCTGTTTTTTTTTTTACGGCGGTCCGAAAATAATGTCTGTGCGTCAGCATAATTTATGTCATAAACTGCAGATAGAAATAAGTTAAATACAATAGATAAAGCATCAAATTACCTTACCTTTCCATCATTACTTCGTCTGCAGAAAATGACCATTGACAGCCTCCTTATCCTTAAAACATTTGTAAGAATTCAACATTTTCAAGTAAAAAGGCTGTATTTTCTGAGATAAACAAAAGATCTGGGATTTTAAGGGAACTGTGTTATCGATAAATAAAACATCAGGTTATCCAGTATTTCGTTAAAATGCCATTACTTTCACCATAAGACGGACCCGTCAAAACTTGACGCAATGTAATTAAATGCGACTGGACGTTATTAACATTAATTAGATATGCGGTGTTTATTTACGTAAAATAATATTTCAGTATTCTTCGGACGCACGGAAACTAGTTAAACGACTTTGCGAAACGGGGAACGCTCGAACCGACCGGCCGCCTTATTTTTCGTCTAGGAAGGCGTTGGCGAACGCCAGCGGTGTTGAAACTAAGCTCATTTCCGATTTGTATTCCGTGGCGGTTGTTTGTGTTCTTATGAGCGGAAATTTTCGTTAAGTTAAGTTACAATTTTTGAACGCGTCAGTTTTAATCGAGAAACGTTTTGATTTATAATTCGGTAAGTTTACATGTGGGCGTTATGGAAATTCGTTGCCGGAACCTAACCTAAAAAGTAACTCGCTCGTTTTTCTGCGTCCAAGAGTTTGTTTTTCCGTGTGTTGCCTGATAGAAATAATATTCAGAGAGATGCGATTTTTGCTGCAAAGTAATTAACACCCAAGGTCCACGGCCGGTAGCAAAACAATAAAAAAAACTCATAAAGTTTTTATTAGTGTGGTGCCGGTTGACAACATCGAAATTTGTTTATTTTTCATTTGAACCTTTGATCGCGGTAATTAAAATAATAGCCATTAAATGTAAATATTTAGTAGGTAACTAGGCTAATGAGTTGAAAAAATGCCAACGTAAGATGCGAGTTTGGATGAATTTTATTATTATAAAAATTAAAAATTTATTATTAAAAAATTGTAACGTTTTTGCAGTATTGAAATATTTCGTTTTGTTTTCAACAAAAATTAAAAATGCATCAGTATTTTGAATATGCAAAAAATTAAATAAAATGAGAAGTAGATGTTTTTTTTTTAACTATGTAGGTGTTTGTTTTAATTTTTTTTGGTACACCTTTGCGTGTATCTTGAATAAAACAACAACTAAAAAAGTGTTTTGATGTGCTAGATGTTTGTTTCGACATTCGGAGGCGACTTGTGCAATTTGAATTAGGTAATTATAATTTTTCAAGCATTTAATTAAGACAAATCGACAGTAATTATTAATTAACGGGAACTTTCTATTTTTCCTCATACCTGCTGGTTAAAAAATATTATAATGCTACGTTGAGAGAACTGGTTTCAACAGATCTAATAAAAACATGTAGCAATAATATAGTAGATACGTGTACGTACTTGAAGTAACGGGAGATGTTGGAGATATACAGGCACGAATTGGACTGGTTTCTCTTCGAAAGGGACCCAATTTTCTTATCTTTCTCATATTTAAGAATCAGTCGGGCTTTATTGTTTCGCCTTTCCATTTACATATTCAACTTTAAAAAATATGGAGTGCCATTTATGAACATTCAAGTTGTCAAAAAATTTGCTATAAGTTACGATAAGAGAAAAACATCCTCGTTTTTTGAGCCGTACGCATGAGACGATAGATATCTTGAGGAATATCATGTTCTAGCGATGTCCCAAATGGTCATTAAATTACCGTTCACCTTTAGCGTGCTCGTATCAGAGATTTATTACCAGAAACTTTAGAACCTACATTTTTGTGTGGAAACATTTTTTAGTTTTATGGGCAGACGCGCAGCAGCTTCGTTGCGCAATTATTTTAAAGTTTTAATTCTTTGAACACGCTATAAATAAGTTAATTATTACAGCCATATTCGCGACATAATATATGCGTACACATGATAAATATTGATCGTACAAAAAGAATGTTATTACCGCAATTAAATTTAAAAAAAGTTTTTTATTATAAATTATGAAAAAGTCAAAATGGTCGCTCGTCAAATAAGTGGCGTAGTTTCAATTTTTAAAGATATTTAGTAACTTTTGTCAAGAATGACGTTTGAAATGTACCTTCTTCTGTCGCTGGTGTTCATGTGTATGTTGCCTGTTCCCGATCCGCTTGTAAGATGTTCCGTTTCACAGAGAGGGTCCAGATTTTCTGACTTTACATGTACAACGTGGTTTTTACTAATTTGTCAACCGCGATAATGTTGCTTCATTTCCCTCCCTATCTACTGTTATTCCTTTCTATCATCACGAGGGTCCATTTTGTTTATTAAAATTTGGGTCACTCGTTTTGCTTCTTATGTTACGACTGAACATCAATGCACATACATTAATGTTTATTTTTGCAACTCTTCTTTTAAGTCAATTGGAGTAAGAGAACGGGAGTCGCTTCAGGATTGCCTTGTTGAAATTTTCAACTTCAGCTTTCGCGTTTGCTTGCGGCCAGTAAATTCTATATTATTTTCATGGCACTTTTGTTAATTACTGTTATTAATAGAAAGATGTCAAGTTCGGGGCAAATAAAATATTCGCATTGCATATTAAATTATCCATATCCAATGTATTAAAATAATATCAAATGCAATTTGACTGACTACTTCAAATCATAATTATGCAAGGCTCACAGCCGCCACCAAAATGTTTTCGGAGATATTTCCCACGCTTTGAATTGTCAATTCTGACTGTCACGTCAATGAATGTATTCGTGTTGTTTTGCGAAAATGTACCCAAAAACCGACGGTCGTAGAAAAAGCATAGTATGCAACACGTTCGTTAATAGTATATTATGCAACAAGTGCGGTAAACGGTATTTGACTCATGAGTTTATTTGACACGAGCGGAGCGAGTTTTTAATAAACAAGTGAGTTAAAAAGTTTACCGAACCTGTTGCGTACTATACTTTTTCTACGACCGTTAGTTTTTGGGTACATTTTCGCAAAACAACACAAATACATTCAGAATTGACAAACGTCAAAATTGAAAGCTTGGGAAGTATCTCCGAAAACATCCGTTGGCTCCCAAATCCGTGCTGCAAATTCCCGGAAATGTCCGAAATGGATCAGATTCGTGGGAAACGTAACTGACGTGGTAAAGTGACGCTTCCCCCACGCTAGATCGGTGGGTAATTGGGTATTTTGCAGACGGGAGTAGAAAAACTTTTTAACTCACATTTCAAGGATTTTACCGCTCGAGTTTGGCAGCAATCGGATGTTTTTGACTTGAATATTGATGTTTGTCAATTCTGACGGTCATGTCAGGGAATGTGTTCCCGTTTTGGAGACACCCTGTACTAAATATGTTATTTGTACAAAAATCACATAATTACCGTGATACTTTTTATTAAAACCTTCAAACTTCAGCTCGTAAATTGCCTAAAACACGACACAACTGAATTAGATATAATTTTCAACTGCAAAACATCATTTTAAATCGTCCAAATTGAAAATATTCCATAAATACGCAGTATACAATCTTAGACCTTCTGCAATGGAAATCGAAATTTCCCATAATTCGGTCGATGGATAACGACGGCAACATTAAAATTCAAATTTCGGTGGGGTTTTCAAATCGTCGCCCGATTAATTAAGTAAACTTTAATTTTCGATTAGCTGGTGAATTTTTGGTCATTAACTTTTTATTTCCAGCGACATGCCCGCCGAAAACCTGAAGACTTTCTACTCCGGAAAGAACATTTTCATAACCGGCGGCACTGGCTTCGTGGGCGTTTGTCTCCTCGAGAAAATCCTGAGATGCATTCCCGATCACGGCGACATTTATCTTCTCGTGAGGCCCAAGAAAGGGAAGGAGATATCGGAGCGACTCGAAGAAATCAAGAAGAATTCCGTATTCGAAAGACTACTTAAAGAACAAACCGTTGAAAAGGTAACTATTTGAACTACTTGGTCGGAGTTTTATTGCTTTTTTATTTCTGTTTCTATTTCTGTCCACTTAGCGGAGCGAATTCAAGTTCAATGCCGACTGACATTTTTTAGAAATAAGATTACTTCTATAAAATAGTTTAATTCCAGGGTGAGTGCATTTAAATATTTTGCGTACCCATTATCTGGTCGTTTGTGTGAATAGTTTGAGCTGTCGTTTATGTATTGTCCAAACCAGTAGTTCAAACCAACTACCTTATATCCTCACTCATTCATACTCATTCCTGAAAAACAATAACACAGATAAAACACATCTTTGAGTTTTTATCCCTGATGCAAACAGAAACAGTTGGGTTTTCAATGTTTTGAAAATAAACACGAAACATACAGTTCGAAAAGGCATTTTTTTACAAATAAGACCACTAAAATACATTATAATTTTTCCATTTGGTTTCCAAAGCACAATTGGATTTTAAAAATTTCGAATTTTGTGTGAACAAATGGGCAATCATATTGAATTTCTTTTACTGATATTATAGGTTAGGAAAGAGATATGGAAGTGCGGTTTTCACTAACCTGTTAGGGTCTTATTTGGCCATCCTTTGTGGCCATAAAAATGACATCGCCGCATCTAATTTTTTTGAGTAAATAAATTGTATTTGTAAATATTTTGCAATCTGCTCAGGGCTACGTTAGGAGCCTAAAACAAGCGCTTTTCAGTAACTCCCAACAGCCGTTCTGGAGTTGTTGACATTTATTTCCGGAAATGTTCGAACACGAATGAAAAAGAATGGAATTTATCCCAGCTTTACAATTTCCAGTCTATAATTTCAAGAAACTTCAATTTCAAGCTTTGCCTTTTGAACGCTTTAGTTATAAAATTTTTCGCCCCAAGCCTTTGCGACAATTAATAACTGAAACGTTAATAGTCATGCGATGAATGCAAAAAAAAATCTGTAGTATTACCTTTAGCGGTTCGTTGAGTATGGTTCACAGGTACTTTCTTGGATTATAAACTAAGTTTTCTGACACATTTTTCTTAAGTGGTAAACTGGCCTATGCGAGTCTTTGGGTTTGTTACTTCACATTGCTTTAGACTCCTCCATATCTTTGGTTCGCTGTAGACTAGAGTATGCATTTGCGGTATGGTCTTTATATTATGCTTACCACATAGATAACATTGAAGCCGTTCAGAAAGTATTTTTAAGATCTGTGGCTTCAGACCTCCTACCGTGTTATAACGGAGGCGTTCAACATTGATGCTATTCAAACCAGAAGATTCCAGAGTGATTTATTTTTTCTCTTTCTTAAGATTTTGAATGATTGGTATTATTGTCCAGCTCCTTTACATAGCATACACAGCATTGATTTTAGCTGTCACACTGCTGCCTTTGTCTCCATTGCTTTTAATGAATGTAAAAGTTTTGTAAATTGGTTAAACCGTAAACAACTGAATAAATAAAGATTGTTTATTAGAAAAAAAATGTTATCGTATTTCTTCGTAGTTCTAATTTGACTTAGTGAAAACGGCGAGCATGGCGAAAAATTTTATCTTTAGATGATAAAGTTGCTTTAATTCGGGAGATAGAACGGGGAGAAAAGAAAAGTGATGTGGGACGTCGATACGGACTGACACACTCGTCTGTAACCACGACTTTGAAGTGCAAAGAAAAAAATCATTCAGGCTGAAGCGGCAGGCAGTTGTAGTAAAAAACTAAGAAAGCCAAAATTTGAAGATTGGGATCGGGCAATGTTGCAATGTACCACTCTCTGGACCTATCGTAAAACTAAAAGTAGAAAAGTTTGCTGAACTGCCTGGCATTATCGACTTTAAGGCTTCGGAAGGATGGTTGGAGAAGTTCAAACAGAGACATGGTATAAATTATGGACAGATAAGTGGGGAAGCCGTGATGTCGACAGAAACGTCACTAGCGATTGGCTGGAGAAGACGTGGCTAAAACTAGCAGAAAGGTATCCTGCTGACGACATTTTTAATGCTGACGAAACTGATATTTTTTACAAAATGACGCCAGATAAAAGTCTTAAATTTCGAAGCAAAAAGTGTGTGAGTGGAAAACTTTCTAAAGAACGTATAACAGTGTTAGTAGCTGGCAATATGAGTGGGATAGAAAAAAGAAAGCGAGTCGTGATTGGAAAATCAACTAACCCACGATGTTTTAAGAACATCAAGCATTTGCCGGTCACTTACAAGGAAAACAAGTCTGCATGGACGACATCGCAATTTTTTGAAGAGGAGATGCGGAAATTGGATGCAGAAATCCCTATATTCCAAATTTTCCATTAATATGCTAGATGCAGTCAACTTTATTAGTAAAGCTTGGAAAGAGGTGACAGCAGAAACAATTCAACACTCCTATCGTTATGCAGGATTTATTACCGAGACAGAATGCGAACAGCACTTGGAAGATAATCAGCCCCTAAGAGAGTGGATAAAGCAGTTTCAAACAACAATTACGTTTACAAGTGAGGAGTTTCAAGATTTTATGATGATAGATCAGGATCTGCCCACAACAGTAGACTTGACAGGGGAAGCCGTATTACAACAAGCAAGAAAGGGTGAGGAAGAGCACCAAGAGGAAAAAGAAGCCCTATATTCAGTTAAGCTGCTAGAGAAATTTGTTATGTATCATGGGGAAGGTGCCCTTCTCGAAGAAATGGTGAAAATATAAGCCAAAGTACGAGATGCGTATTGGCGTACTAAAAAAAATCAAAAGAAAACTACCGATTATTTGATATATTAAATGTAGTTCTTAATTTTTTATATAAAATGTTCCTAAGTAGATGTTAAAATATGTATATAAAATAATTAAATATTACAGATCGCATTTGCGTTTTGTTATTTTTCAAGTGTCTATATCTCGTTATAACGAAAAAAAAAGCAGTCTCTTCAATTTCGCAATATAGAGTTTCGACTGTATAACATTCGACATAAATTTGGGCTATTGTTCGATGGACATAAACGTATTTTTGCAGGCGTTCGCGAAGGTCAAAGCGGTAGCAGGAGACGTCGGCCAGGATAATTTGGGCCTATCCGGCGAAGACGCCAAATTGCTAACCGAAAAAATTAACGTCATTTTCCACTCGGCCGCTACGCTAGATTTCGGTGATACCCTGAAAACTACGGTCGTTATCAACTTGTTGGGAACCCGAAGGGTAACCGAGCTAGCAAAACGGTGTCGAAATCTGAACGTTTTGATCCACGTGAGCAGCGCTTACGTCAATTCTTATCGATTAGAGGCAGACGAGGTCATATACCCTTTACCGAGGGATCCGGAAGAGTTGATCTCGTTGGTGGAGAAATTAACTCCCGAAGAGCTCGAGGAAAAGACGCCCGATATTCTGGGCACCCATCCCAATACCTACACGATTACCAAACACATGGCCGAACACGAAATTCAAAAGGTGCAGGCTGATTTTCCGTGCGCCATCGTCAGGCCCAGCATGAGTACGACGCTAGACATAGCTTCAAAGTTCGATTTTAAATTTCGTTTTTTTTTTTTTTTTTTTAGTTATCGGCGCGTGGAAGGAACCCCAGAAAGGCTGGACGGTTAGCAAGAACGGCCCGCAAGGGTTCTTGATGGGCGCCTCCAAAGGCGTTATCCGAAGACTACCGGTCGCAAAAGAATTGGTCTACGATTATATACCGGTCGATATTGTGGTCAATGCTTTGCTCGCGGCAGGATTCCACGCAGGTATGGTCTGTTCATAGATATAAGAAACTGACCAATTGCTTTTGAACGGATTATCCAAGGGTTGTCATTAATATACAATGCAAAAAGATTATTATTATTAATTAAGGTAATTAATAATTAATTAATAATTACTTAATTAATTAATTAATAATCTTGTTGCGTTGTATGTTAATAACCACGGACTCGTTTGTGGGGGTTTGTTGATACGCAGTAGTTCAAACGTACCGGATTCACATACAAATTTCTTAAATATTTTTTGTCTGCAAGGCAGTTCAGAGTAAGATACTGTGCGTTCAAGTTATCTTGAAGACATTTTAATTGGCTGTAACTGTTTTGTTTTTAGAGAATCAAGGTAACAAAAAACAAAATGTAGGGTTAGTAGCCAAATTTTTTTTTTCCGAGTGTTTCATAGAATATCTTAATTTCAAAGATTGTCGTGACTGACCACAACAACAATAATTATTTACAAATTAAAGTAGAATAAAAACACTAAAAATGACAAGACACACTAAAGTAAAAAATTCTTTAACTATTCTAAATACTGCTGTATGTGATCACCATTTTCCTGAATACATGATGTCTGGCATTTAGTAACTTTTTCGGATTGTCTCTTAACTGACTGATTGCCTTTGAAACCCTTTGCTGAAGTTCTACAACATTAGTATAAGGAGTTCTGTGGACGTGATTTTTTATGTGTCCCGAAAAGAAAAAATCAATTAAAGTTAAGTCGGGGCTGTTGGCTGGTCAAACCATAGTTCCGCCGTTACTTATTCAACCTCATGTTAAGAAAGAAAATTTTTAACTTGCACAACTTTGTGGGAAGGGGCACCATCTTGCTGCCATATAATCAGCGCTGATATATTTAGGGGTGAATCGTCTATATATTGTTATATTTGGTGCTCTAAGAGTTGAAAATAATGGTCTCTAGTTAACTTTTGATCTATAAATATCGGACCCAAAATATGCCCACCTATAGCGTATTTTGTCTATTACAACCCTTTCTTGTGATGAACGAAATTTATCAGTTCATAAAATGTTTTTCATAAAATTATTATTTTCATTATGTCCATTTACAAAATCCAAACAAAACTGCCTCCTCCTTTGACATTGTTTTGCGCTTAGTTTTTGAGTTTTACGAAATTTAAATGCACTATATTTATATTCTTTCAAAACTGAGTGGATTGATCCCCGAGAAATACCTGTCTCTTCATATAATCTAGTAACGGAGGAAAGTGGATGTACTTCATAGGATCCTAATTTGTTTGCCTAATTTTCTTTGTTTAAAACATTATGACTCCCGCATATATCGTTCATTAAACACTCGTCCCGCTCGTGTCAAATAAACTCGCTCTAAAAACAATAAAGTTACAGGCAATTAAAATGTTATCAAGATAAATGGAATGCATGGTACATTTTTGTGAAAGTACCCTTGACGTTTTTTTGCAGCGAAATTTTCGTTCAGCCCGTTTTCATCCTTTTACTGTTTCCAGGAGTCACCAAGACCAAAAATGTCGAAATATACCATTGCACGTCGAGTACCAGGAACCCATTCAAGTGGCAAACCATCGAGCACATCTTAAACGATTACCTGCACAGATTTCCGTTGAAATCGGCCGTTTGGTACCCGCACCTCAAGCTGGTACCTTCCGTGACATTGTACAAGATATCCGCGTTCTTCGTGCACATCATACCGGCCATTTTATTGGACACCATCACGCGAGTGACCGGCGGAAGGCCGATGTAAGTGTCGCCGCCGCCGCTCGAAAGATTCGCCTACGTTTCGGACTCATTGCAGACTGATGAAGTTGCATCGCAACGTCAACTCCTCCCTCGACCGCCTGTCCAAGTTCATTTTCACCGAGTGGAAGTTTAACGCGCTGAACACCAACAATTTGCAAGACTGGATGTCGAAGAGCGACCAAGAAGAATTCAACTTGGACATTTCCACGCTCGTGTGGAAAGACTACTTTGACGATCTGACGTTGGGCGCTCGCGTTTACCTCAGCAAGGATCCAATCAAAACATTGGAGGCGGCTAAAAAGAAGGACAAAATGTAAGTGAATTGTTTTTTTTTTTTTTTTTGAAAATGTACCAGAATATAGAATGTGACATTATTCAAGATTCAACATAATTAAAATTACCATCATTACCATGTTAGATTTTTCTAAATTAAGTAATTACTTTTTCATCCTTATTATTTATTATTATTAAATAACAGTTAATTTTATTCCCTGTTGAAATTAGAAATAAGTAATTTATTGCCTTTTTTATCGTTAATCATTTTGTTTCTCCTAATATTAGAAGAGTTAAATTATTAAATGTTTTTTTTTTACTTAGTAATTTGTTATTATTAAAACATGTATCATCTTCAAAATTAATTTATCGCCTTTATTATCTTATATCATCATTATTATCCTGTTTATTGGTACATATCATTTTCCGATCTTATAAATTATTTTATCATTTTATTAGTTCATCATCATAATTTATTATTTTATTTTGATATTTTTTATCATATTTTTTTTAGTTTAATTATAAAAATAATTTGTATCAATTATTTATTTGTTGTCATTACAATACTTAATTCAGTTATAATTTACCGCCTTTATCATTCCTCATTTATTAATTTATCCACGTTTACTATATTTTATTTTCGTTGGCATTATCAATTTTTCTAAATTCATTTGTAACTTTATCATGTTTCTTTTCATAAGTTGTTATTTTATTGTTTAGAGAACCTGAAAAGTTAAATAATTATGTTTACCCATTATTACCATTATATTTCATTAATTTGATCTTTTTTTTTTTCATTGATCGTTTTTGTTTCTTAAATATAATTTTTTACCAATTATTTAATTTATTATTATTTAATTTTATTTTATTTTTCAGAAAAATTACGCATTATTAATTGAGAGCCTTTTTTTATCATTAATCGTTTGTTCCTCCTAATTATTATTATTACTAAGAATAAAGTTCAGAGGAAAACCTATTATGCACATTGATATTTAGTAACACAACACATATAATAAACATTTAGTTAATGCTGTGAAATGTCAGAAGGGTAGAAAAAATAAATATTAAATCATAAATCACCATTTATAATTAGTGGTCGTGATCTTCAATTTTAATTTATGACAATTATTATCTTATACCATCATTATTATCATTTTTAACTTATTAGTTTATCCTGTTTTTTAGCATTTATTATCATTTCCCGTTTTTTATTATAGTCATCATCATAAAGTTTTTTTTATCATTGGTTGCCTCTTTTGTTCGTTTGTTTCTTAAATATGATTTTTTCCCAATTATTTAATTTATTATTATATATTGTTACTTTATTTTTCACAAAAATTAGACATTAATTTGCTACCTTTTTTTATCATTAATCGTTTAAATAATAAACTAGTAGTCGTCAATTTATAACTATTAGTTTCCTGCTTATTTTGTATTCTTTTATGATTCTTCAGTACTATTTTTTCTTTTATTATTTATTTTTATTAAATTTAGGAAGTACATACAATTTACTAAGCATCAACGTGCGATGACGCATCCCATTTTAGTCGGTAGTTCAAATGTACCGCGACATCTGCTCTTATAAGCCGCGCGTGTGCATTTATGCGCTTTTTATTCCAGATTATTCGCCTGCCACGTGGGTTGGAAAATCGGCGTAATTTCATTAATTTGGTGGTTGTTTACCGTAGTGACAGGCACCACGATGCTGAAAGCGTTTTTCGTCGTGCCCGTCATTGTCATCCTGCTGAATATGCTGTAGCGTCGCTATCATTTTCATGCAGCGTTGTCCAGAAATTTTACGTTTTCGTTATACTAAAATTAACGTAGATCCAGTTTTGTTGATAGTTTCAGAGTTTACGGCTCATTGAAATTATATTTTTTACGTTATTTTGGGCCAGTATTGTCGGTGTAGTTTAGGAGTTTGGTTAAATGGTTAATCGAAATTTACGTTTGCGTTTATTTTAATGATATTCTTTTGTACGTTGTTTTCTCGTAATAAACACACTCGAAACGAACACGGGTTTTATTTTCGGTGAAATAGCCACGTCAAAAAATTTCCGGCCGCCTCTAATAACGGATTCGAAGGTTCGTTCTTATTGCCCCCGGTCTGCGCGTTGCCGCTGACATTGCCCGTCACCTGGTCCGTTTTCTCTGGACATTTGTACATCTGGTTGATTTTCGCGAGGTCTCCCCTGCTGAAACCTTCCCGTTGACCCATCTTCTCCGCCTTGGACGGATCCTGCGCGACCAATGTTTTGCATTTAGACATTACGTACATCTATTTGGAGCCCAGCGCAATTTCATTGGTCAAATCCAAATGTCAAACCATTAAGGCAAGGAAAATATACTGCGAATTAATTTAATGAAAGTGATGTTAGTTCCAATGTATCTGCAGCATAATATTGTTTAAAACGCTTTACTTTGTTCTGTCAAACACAGTTTGTAAAACTTAAGTATAGATGGCGCTTCTTAACTTCAAATTAGCAACAGCGCCAAGAGTAAGGTTAAATGGGACGCACGTTTTTCACATTTTACTTATTGTAGTGTAAAACCATACCAATAGTTTAGAATAAAAACATTTCGAAACCGAATAGTGAAGTCTGACGAATATGTTTAACAAGGTTCTTAAAATAACTATGGGTTTTTAATACGAGGTGTCTTCAAAAAGTATCGCCAATTTTGTGTTTTTTCAAAAATTATTTATTTATTCATGAATATCTATTTTGTCCCCTTCAAAGTAATCCCCATGAGATATTATACACTTGTGCCAACGGTTTTTCCAATCTTCCAAGCACTTCAAAAAATCATTTTTTTTATCTTCTTCAGCTCCTCCTTCGATGCCGTCTTTATCTCGTCAAGAGAAGCGTAACGTCGCCCTTTCATGGGCCTCTTCAGTTTAGGGAACAAGAAAAAGTCACAGGGGGCCAGATCTGGGGAATACGGTGGCTGCGGCATCATTAGTGTGTTGTTTTTGGCCAAAAAGTCGCGCACAAGCAACGATGTGTGAGCAGGGGCATTATCGTGGTGCAAAAGCCAATTTTTGTTCTTCCACAAATCCGGGCGTTTCTGGCGGATTGCTTCGCGCAAATTGCGCATAACTTGCAGGTAATATTCCTTATTGACCGTTCTTCCCTGTGGCAAGAACTCATGATGCACCACGCCCCTGCAATCGAAGAAAACTGTCAGCAAAACTTTCACATTCGACCGAACTTGGCGCGCTTTTTTCGGTCTTGGTTCGTGCGGCAGCTTCCATTGAGATGATTGAGCTTTGGTTTCCACGTCATAACCATAAACCCACGATTCGTAACCAGTTAGGACCCTCTGGAGCAAATTTGGGTCGTCGCGGACAGAGTTTAACATCTCATAAGCAATGTTCATGCGATGCTGTTTTTGGTCACAATTGAGCAATTTTGGTACGAATTTCGCGGCGACCCGTCTCATGCCGAAATCATTGATAAAAATCGAATGGCACGAGCCAATCGATATGTTTAGGTCCTCAGCAACTTCTCTAACGGTGATTCGACGATTGGCCAATACCATTTTCTCCACTTCATTAATTTTTTCGTCTGTTGTTCTCGGGCGTCCGGCACGCTCTTTGTCGTTCACATCTTCTCGGCCTTCTGAGAACATTTTGTACCACCGATAAACGTTGCTTCGGTCCAAGGTAGCTTCTCCGTATGCCACAGTCAACACCCGCGCACTTAATTTCGTTTTTCACACAAAATTTGATACAGGTTCTTTGATCTATTTTTTTGAATAGGTAAAAATCGAAGGCGATCCAAAACACGTGCAAGCAAAGCAGCTGTCAACAATTAAATGAACATTCAAAATGGCCGAGCTTGTCGGCATAAATGAGAGACATGAGTACCAACATAACGCCACAAAAAATTCGAAATTCGAATATACGTAACCCGCGAAAATTCAAAATTCGCGATACTTTTTGAACACACCTCGTACTTTGTTCTGTCAAACACAGTTTGTAAAGCTTATGAATAGATGGCGCTTCTTAACTTCAAATTAGCAACAGCGCCAAGAGTAAGGTTAAATGAGACGCACGTTTTTCAAATTTTACTTATTGTAGTGTAAAACCATACCAATAGTTTAGAATAAAAACATTTCGAAACCGAATAGTGAAGTCTGACGAATATATTTAACAAGGTTTTTAAAGTAACTATGGGTTTTTAATACTCGTATACTACATGGGAACTGTCAAAACGTTTTGTCAGTGATTGAAGTGCAGACAGTCCGGGAAAGAAAAGTGGATATAATGAGGACAAGCGAAAAAAAACACCCTCAACAAATAAATATAGGTGCAATTTCGCTTTTTTGTATATTTGTCTTAGTTGCATTTCACGGGTTTCTGTCGGAGTTTTAGGCCGCATAAAACTTTTCCGTTCGCGCATTTTGAACGCATTTTGCACTGAAACTATGATCGGTTTTATAATTCGAATCTGACCAATGAAATTGTACTCGAAATCAAATGTCTGTCAGGTGTTATAGAATTTTGTACAGAAAAATAAGGGCAGGTAGACCGGAAATATTTGATTTTCCGTTTTTAATTGTTTATTTAACAGTAAATTACTTATTTTCGCTAATGTTTGTTCAAAATTAAATCTTAAATGAAATTTCATTTCTTTAATGGAACATATTTTATGAGCTTTTCTGAGAGACAATGAAAACCTCCCTATACCTATACCTAAATATGAAGGACCGCCAAGTTTCTGTAAAAATTGGATTATTTGGAATATTGCGTAGTCATCAAATTGTGAATCAATTCGATTGAGCATTAAAAAAAAATTGGAATTTGGAAATTTGGATTATAATTAGTTTTGGGACTGGTCAATTGACCATTTGTTAGTTGACTAGTCAAAAAATGCAATTGTAGAGTGTTATCTATCATTATTTAATAATAATACCTATTTTATAATAAATTATTATGCGTTTTTGATGTCCAATTCAAAAAATTTCCGATTCGGGGATTTACAATAAAAATATCGACTTAATTTCTTCATAAAAATAAATAAATATAAATTTTATGCTATCTTTAAAATTATTTCAGTCAATTAACACAAAAAAATTTGACCGGTCAATTCCACAACCCTAGTTATAATTAATACACCTATAATATAAAAGTGCTTAAAAAACTCATAATCGAGGAAAATATTTACTTCCATTAGTAGTGCCAAAAGAGCTATGTTTTGAAAAAAAAAATGGGAAATATAATTAGTGTCTCGGAAATCGCAAAATAACCAGGAATTGATGACGCAACGGAAAATCCTAAATATACCGGATGTCTATTTAAAAAAATTAAAAAAATCAACTTTTTCGAACATGCGGCAATGTCGCATCGCTAAAAATACATTAGATAGTCATCACTTATGTAAGCAACCAAATTTTTAGAGGGTCTCGTCTACCATAAACATGTCGCCGAATCACCCTGTAAATACCGTAAAACTGACGTGTCTAATTGATTGAAAGGCACATGGTTCAGAATGATATTACATCTTTTAAAATTTTTAAATAATTGAAGTATAGGGAAACTTTAAGGAAGCTACCATGATTTTTTTTCAGAAATCCAAAAATGAAATAATTCACCCGTTGTTAAATTTAATTAAAGGAGTTAGGTGCTGTGAGATAGTTATATCTAATGCAACTCCTTTTATCGCATGAACCGTATTCAAACAAAAACTGTTGTAGTTTTTACAAAACTTCTGGTTTCCTGACGTTTCGCCAATCATCCTATTGGCTTCTTCAGAGTTTAACTTGTTGCATCAGGGTTTTGTTCGGTGGTCTGTAGTGTTCTTATTCTATGGTCTTGAGAGGTTAGAATGTGGGACTCTCGAACTGGTATCTCGCGCACTTATGTCTAAATCTCATGACGCTGATCAAATAAAGGACTTGTAGTGGAGTTCTCTTTTAATATAAAAAGCCTCCAATAAGACATAACTGATACCTTAAAGCGGCCTATACACATGCAGGCAAGTATTAATATGTGACAAAAGACATTTTTCGCACAGCAGCAGGCCCCACCAACTGGTGAACCTCGAGGTTTACCTGAATAGTGTGTGACCGCAATTCGTTTCGTACTTGCGCGCGGACTTGCCTGCATGTGTATAGCCCCCATAAGCGTAACAAAAACCGACGCAGGAGGAATCTAGAAGTTTTGTAACAAGGATATACAAATGCCGCAGTAGTGAGCTACGCTGTATATTGTGCACCAGAGCAAAAAACCCTAAGAGACAATAAAACATTGGGTTGCGGCCAAACTAACCTCGATACCTAACTAAATAAATTAAAAATAAACTGTAAAACACCTCGTATAAACGAGGCATTTCCAGACCCTCATTTAGACGTTTGTTTTTTCATAAGATGTGGAATCTATCCTTAAAATTTCTTAACAGCGATCTTTAACACCGTGTATATCACCTTCGGTATGATGGTGGGTTGTCCGTTGACGGAGAACGCTTTCCTCGAGTAGTGCATCACAGATCTGAAATCGTACGGCACGCCGAATCCGTTCGTCTTCTCTTTGTCCGCTTTGTCGAAGTTGTTCTCGTGACCTTGGAAAAAAAGCCGCGAAAATGAGTGCGCAGGGAAAACCGCGCATGTGAACTGTATCGTGTATAGCACTCGATAAATGGTCTGGTCAACCATACCCCTAATAAAATGAGCAAGAAACGAATAAACCGATTTACAAGCGTTTATCACTACAGGGAGGTATTTTGGTAGTGTCGACTCCTTAGAAATTTTAAAATCATTTACATTTCGCCATTAGTGCTGTTACAAATTTGTTTAGACCGTGGATCGAAGGAAACTTCGACGACGGAAGGGTGACGAACCAAAAGGAATGTATCAAAAAAACTATCAACGATCAGCGGCAGAAAAGAGGTATTGCAATAGTTTTTAGTTTTAAGAACTAAAAACAAATTGTGAATTTATGCCAGAGAGCAGTTGGAAAGAATGTTTTCATCGTGTACCTGAAGTCGAAAATACATATAAAGAAATTTGGAGCAACGTAAATCGGTTAATTATATCCGTGGATGATTAGTGATAGCACAGATTCAAACTATTTTGACGACTAAATTTATTTAATATGTATTTATTAAATATATTCATGAATTTTGTGTCTTGTAATAGCACTATTACGAACAGGAAATCTCATGTAAATTTTTATGTTTCCAAGTATTGGCTCCGCTGTTTATTTTATAGCAAGATTGTGATATATAACTTTTTGAAGGGGCCGGTATGAACTCATGCGATGAGTTCAATCTTCAGTTATTGAATTAAATATGGTGGCAACTGATAAAACTGATAAAACAATTACTCAAAGAAATCTTGCACCTGCCATAGATGAAGTGCGTAATGATTATCAAGGTCACCTCATGATTGTTCATGCTAATAAAGCCCGAAGGAGATCGAGAATCTGCCGCAGCCACACAATTTACGTTTTTGTCGAAACAATTGTCATGTCATAATATATAATTTCGTGAACATCTGAACTTTTAGTTCTTATTTATTTTGTTTAGTGTAATGTGCATTTACACACTTCATGCTTTGTAAAATATCACCAAAAATGAAACCATACCATGTTACCATAAAATATTATGCGTTTTTTTGTATCAAATCAAATTCTATTCGGAAAACAATCTGCTTTTAGTTGTTTTCTGTCGAACTTGAACTTTCTTTTGTATATTTTTTGCAAATTTGCATGTTTTTTATTGTAAACCAACCTTTATTTGATATGCCATTGTCCAGCTTGACGTCGTCAAGTTTTGGAAATAGCGTCATGGAAAGTATTCACTGGTGTTTGTTGTATTGGCCTTTTGCAATTTTGTCTTCATATTTAATTGAGTAACTGCAGATTGCTTATTAAAATTTATTAAAACTCGGCACATGAGTTAATCGTAACTCGTGTGCCGAGTTCAAAACGTTCAAAATGTTATTCTACAACATAAAATGTGATTTCCTATGTTCCGTTTGGCAATGGATAACCCGGTGTAAAGTGCTTTGAAATCGTGAGGGTTTTTACCTCTTTTGATGTTCTGCCACGCGATCGACACGTATTCGTCCCTCTCGAATCGGTTCTGCTCGTGCAGGAATCCAGCGGCGTGCATCAACTCGTGCAGCGGCGTCCCTATCCTCGATGTACACGAAGGGCTCTGTAGATTAATCTCCTGCTTGCCTCCTATGCGGCCGACGCTGGACCAACATCCGGTCGGGGTGTTGACGATCGAGACGTAGTCGTCGTCCGATGGTAACCTCTTACGGAAACTAGAAAACAAAATGTACGCGAAAAATGGAGATCGTGTGTTCTTGTTATGGTCCCCACCTTAAGCAGGTGTACTTGTGGTAGATGTTGAAAGCTTTGTTCAGCGTGTCGATGTCGTCTTGGTAGTAGGGGCCCTTTATTTCGTACGGTATCACCCCGTCCTTCCATCTGAAAGTCCGGCAGTAGTTCGTTTGTTCGACGGGCGTTAAGTACAAGAAATAGCCAACATAACTGCAGTGTTGCGTAAGAGTTACAGGAGGAAACCCAATTGCCTCCCCTCCCGTGTGTATAAAAATTAAAAATTGGATAGAAAATTTTGGCCGAACATTTCTTGTCTCTTTTTTTTTTTAAGTTTAATGGTAATAAGGCTTTTAAACAGAGAGGAACGGTAATGTAAAGTTTGTAAACGTTATAGGAGACGGTTCTTTGAAAAAGAGAAGTCCTGTGTGGTGGTGGAGAGATAAGACCCCTAAATCTAAGGTTCAATCTGTGAACATCTGTCCGATATGTTACTTTATTTGTCAAGTAAGGAGCACTGTTATTAAAAACAATGTTGATTTTTCCAAGAAGCTTCCACAGGCTACTGTAATAATTTTTACTATCTATAAATCTATAAACAACCTAACAATGTTAACCGCGAATCATTCATCCGAGACGTTTAGCTCCGCCCCCCTCAAACAATATATAAGCAGATACAGAGTAAAATACGAGCCAGTTTCAGTCAAGCTCTGAAGAAGCCAACATGATGATTGGCGAAACGTCAGCAATTTCGATTCAGCAAAAACCGGCGCAGGAGGAATCCAGAAGTTTTGTAAAAAGTAAAAAATAATGTTGTGAAAAAATACCAAGGAGTGTAGTCTACGCCTATTCTGCATATTCAACCACTTAGCATTCTATAGTTTGTGTGAGACTGGATCATATTTTCTTATACCATAAATTAACTGCAAACAGTTTTTTTGTACTCTCTCAATTCTGTATGTGTCAGTAACACTAGAGAATCCGTTAATTTAATCTTGTGAGCTTCAGACAACAAATGCGGATAAAGCGACTTTAAGGAGACGTACGTATCTGACTATTTAAAAAGGTTTAAAAAAAAAAAAATTAGGGTCTCTCAAGTGTCTCACAGCACGTACATTTCAAATTTTAAACACCGAATATGTTGTTTTCTTTTTCGATTTCCTACAAAATTTGGTGGCAAGTTCTTTCAGTTTTCCCTATATCATATATTTCAATAGATATATTGATTATTTTGAAAACTTAGAAAGATTTAGCTTTATTTTTAACTGGTACTAAAGCCTGTATGGGTAATTGATATTGATAATTACTTACCATTTACAGGGTGTCCAAAATTTATCAAAAGTCCACCATAAACTTTTTTTTTTTAACACAACACTCATATATTATTACATTGTTGGATAGTCTGGTGCAGAATTTAATTCTACATTTTGGCCATACCTCTGACAAACTTGATGACCGTTTACATTATTTTTGAAATTATTTAAATAGCACCCTGTATATTATTTATTAATGCTGCATACGTACTTTTATTTGGTATATAGTATATATTTTATGTTTTGGCGTGATTTTTGGATGGCACTAAATTTTTTTTTTTCACAAAATAAATCAACAAGGCAAACGGCAAAAAATCGCTTCTTCTTCTACCTACAACCTAACGTAACTTCTTTGAGGTGAAAAAACCAAAAACAAGTCGAACTTGTCAGAAAGAATTTGATGGTTTGATTGAGTCTTAATAGAAAATATCAGGCAATAACAAGAAACCCGTAAAAAGTATCCCATATAATCATATACAGGGTGTCGATAAATTTGGGCCCCTGGAGGCGATAATTCAGTTATCAATAGGACTTTTTCATAATATTTAATAAGGTATCCGTAGAACAGATACCTGCTGCGAGACACTTATGAGATATTAAGATTGTAACACTCATATAACACAAATGTGTCTATATTTTTTGGCTCTCTGTATATTAGTAATTTTAATTGTCGTTTAGAATCTGATTTTGATGTTGGCTGGACCTATTACGATTTCCGGATCCTCTTACTGCTCACCTCGATGCTTCGGCGATTAGGCCGTTCCTCCCCTTTTTGGGGAACACGATATCGCCCTCCGCGTACTCCCCCAACTCCTCGGGGTTGTATTCTGACGTTGCATTCCAATTTTCGACGATTTTTCCAGTCTCTTCGCTGGGTGTCCTAGATAATTTTAAGGTTAGTCGATTCACGTTGCCTGTTGGCAATTTGGGTTAGTTAGATAGACTTTAATGATCTAAGATGATGCTCTAGATAGAGAGATCTCTAGATTACCCTAAAAACCATCTTACCCGCGTGGTAATTATACCTACTTGAAGAGTCTGTCTCCCAAATAAGACAAATCTACGTCGGGCACCACGTCGTTGTCTTCTAGCGGCAAAGCTCGGACGCAGACGCAGTTGACCGCCAAACTTAGCACTAGATAAGCTCCGCCCTTCTCGATCATGGCGACTTTCTTTAAAATTATACGGTTAAGTGACCTTTTTACTTTTGTCTGGAACTTTTAAAATTATGGAAGGAGACCGATTTATTTATACGCCGCCGTGCGTGGCGGAATGCTAATTCGAAATAAAAAGATTTCGTTATCTGCGGGAAATTTAAATGTAGGTATACGACCGAGATAATAGTTTGGGGTTTCCGCGACCTTATAAGTTGCCTTTTTGCTATTCCAATTCCATCCGAAGTGTAGATTAGCGAGGCCATTTGCGTTAGGATTAGACAAGCCACATCTGAATACGCGTATATAAAAAACGTTGTTCGGGGCTTCTGAAGCGCGATATCAGTTATTTTCTTTACTGAAAGGATAGCAAGCGATTTGCATTTTGCCATAATACCTCCAAGCAGGCGTTCTACGCGACATCTTTTTAACGCAACCGAATAGATCAAATGCTCCAAATGAAAAACTCTCGATTGTATCGTAATTTTGCGTAGCTTATTAATTGCACCCTTGAAACGCTAATAAAGCCGGCTAAGAAAATGATTAATTTGCTGGTTGGTTTTCAAAAAGAATTCATACGTAAATCGCAACAAAACAGGTTCTATTACATTTCAGTTAGAAGACATTCAATATGCGCATGCGCGAGTCATTTCAAATTTCGCCAAGAAAAATTTGCAGTATCAAATAACCAACATGGTCGATAGTCAATAAATTTGAGTGCGTTATTTCCTTAAGATATGCCTAGATTTCTTTAAATGTTCTGAGAATACGAATTGATTGTGTGGAAATAACAGTTTAAAAAGAAAATGGCAAATTAGTTTTGTTTAGTTCTCTAATGCCGCCTACAGCACATCAATTTTTACCGTGGTATAGATATTTGGTTACTCTCAAACTAACTGAGTTGAGACGTCGTCGTATTTTTTTTTGGAAATATTGTTTATTTTTATAAAAAGTGGTATCAGTCTCAGAAATTCGAACATTTAGGCAACGCCGAGGAAAGTTATTGCTATTGTCGCAGAATACCAGCAGTCTGTGCCATTGTCGTTCTAATTTTTGGTGCTTACTGATTGTCTACGTATTTTTTAAAGTGCTTTTGTGGCAAAAACGCTCAGCCACTGTAAAACTTGTTGTTTGCGGTCAAAACTGTAAGGAAAAGAATGTGCCTGTACACGAGTAAGTGTTATCCTTATGTGCATTAAAAATACAGATGGTTTATGGAGGACTGCCACTCAGAAACTTGCAGAATTTGCTCTTTCACGAAATTACAGCAAATGTGAGGACTTACGGTGGCAAACCAGAATTTACAATTATTATTGGTTAACACAGTTAATCCATATTTTCCCAAGTATAAAAAAAAAATAAAAAAATGCTGTTTTGCTCCGAAATTATTTATTTTGTTGCACTGAAGAACATATTACATGTGTCAAAAAAACAATAAAAACTCGAAACATACAAAAAATACTGGTGCGTAAGCGAAACACTGGGAAAAAACATTAAATAATGTTTTGAGGCACATAAGATGTAACATATAATTTATACATAAATATACAAAAGAAAGTACAAATTCGACAGAAAACAACTAAAAGTACATTGTTTTCCAAGTAGAACCTGATTTTATACAAAAAACGCATAATATTTTATGGTGCGTGAGCGCGTGGTAACACCCGGTTTCATTTTTGGCGATATTTGCACATTACACTTATTACAAACGTAAATTATGTGGCTCTGGCAGATTCTACTTCGGGCTTTATTAGAATGAACAATCATGAGGTGACCTTGATTATCATAACGCACTTCATCTATGGCAAGTGCAAGATTTATTTGAGTAATTGTTTCATCAGTTTTCAAAAGTCGCAAAGCAATGTAAGATTTAAAATCAAATCAATCACTTCGTCATCAAAAAATATAAAAAATATTTCAAGCGAAGTTCTTCCAGAAAGCCTATTTTTTAGTTCCTCACATGATCTAAATTCATCGGATATAGGTGAATCTGACCTTTCTTCCATTTAACTGTAGAAGCAAGCCTGTCGTTTACAGAAAGCATACGTCTTCTTTTGAATTCCAAGGTTTCATCATCTGATGAGTCCCATTCAGGTTCAGTAGTTGATGAATTACAGGACTGTTGAGGTCAGCTGTATCATTAGGTGTATGGAACTCGAAAGCTCCAACTATATCAGTTGGTTCCCCAAACTCTTGTAGATTTATGTCACCGTTCATATCTTCTTCGTCAGTCAAGGTATCCACGTCGGGTGGAATATAGACCGCGTCAATATGTTCTGTAAATAAATAAAATAAATTTACAAGGAATGGAATGCTACAATACATAAGAATACGTAAATCCAAATAATACTTACGACTTTCATTGTTGTCAAGGTTTTGTTTCACAGATAAAACCAGTGGCGCATTCACGCACCAGTAAATATTTTCAAAAAATAAAGCATAATCAATATAGTATTTCCAATGTATGTTTTAACAAAAATGGCAATACGAATCTAAAATATTTTTTTTTATTTATTTTTTTATTTACGTACCGCTTTTGTTAACTTTGAAGTCTCATATAAGATCTTTCCTTTACACTAAAATTAGCGATTTCTACAGTTTTATGTCCATTAGTAGTGATAATAAAATTTCCAAATGGAAGTGCAAAAATATTTCCTGGATGTGACAAAACATCTAAGTATATTTTGAACAAATACTGCCGCAAAAAGCTCGCACCCAAACTTATTGACGATCTGTCAGCGGCCATGTTGGTTGTTGAATGCCCCAAGGTCATTGGTTACAAACGAGATTTAAAATCTCGCGAGTGCGCATGTTGAATGAACCTTCTCAAAAATGTTGTAATATTTGCTTCATAAGTTCTTGTATTATCAACATTAGGAAAGGCCTTTATATCTTTATATCTACCAGCAATTTGCTATAAACCAAATGAGTTTCCTTTGTTAGATTTTTTTGACTTAGTAAAGGGAATACAGGGTGTCCAAAAATTGAGTTGTGTAACAAAAATTCGAATTCGTAATATTTTCCGTCAAAATTAAATTTTATCTTTAATGCATGCATTAATGCAGAAATCTGTCACTAGAGGGCACTTTACTTACAATATTTTTTTAATTTTCCCTGTATTGCATTTATTTAGACTGATAATGCAAAATAGTCCAGACTATAGTTACTCTTGTTTTGAGTCGATGAATGTTTTCGTTTAGCCACAAATCGACTTTTTTATTCTCGGCCCGAATATCCCCCGCACTTCTAATTTAAAGAAAGGTGATACTGCAGGCGACGTACACTAAATTTTTCAAAACAGTATGCACAAATCAAAAAAAGTGAAAAAATGTCAACGCAATAACATGTTTAATTTAAGTAACATAAATACATTTAACATTTTCGTGTGTAAATACCAGCTTATTTAATTGAGAACTAAGCCCAATGCGTTTAAAATAAAATTTTAAAAAATGAATTTTGACAAGTCATTATTTTACCACGTTGAATCTTTCCTCCAAGTTTCCGGACACCCTGTATAAAGGTCGAATCACTACAAAACCCTTTTTCAGATATGCGAGTGACTGGTATGATTCATTACTAATAAATAATTGGTCAGTTTTCTTTGTTTCAAACGAGAGTAGGAACAAAGTAGGTCAATGTTTCAAAACAAAATATTGATTAGACGATTTATCGGTCAGTTGATAGTTTTATGTACATATATGACGGTAGTAGCGACAACTCAAGTTTTTAAAGCGACTCCAGAAGACCGTACGGAACATCGCTCCTATCTAGAGCTTTTGAGTTTTCCGAGATTTCCTCAGAAAGGCGAGTTCTAATCTCCGACAATGGCCGCGACAATGCGATGCATACTCGGTCGTCTTTTCCCTGAAAGTACGTCCGTAGACCTGTCACGAAATCTGCCCGATTTGCGCGAGACGTTCACCTAAAACAGCGTTTCCCCTTCAAACTCCAACAAGCCACGTTTTCTCGCCCTTATCAGCACGCCAATCATTTTGTTGGAAATGTTCGAGTAGATCTGGAACACATTAATCTATTAGGTTAAATCTGAAGGTTGTTGTTTTATGCCTGGCTTGAAATATTTGCCATTTTGTAATTTGAATTTTTTGAGTCTCCTCCAGGATTCTTACTACGAGCAAATGGATAAGATTTGTTTAATAGATGTTGTTGACAAATCTAGGTCGTACCTTGAATAATTCCCCAAATTTTATCGTTTTCCTGGCACCGGCCTCGTCGATAGCTTCACCGAACTGGTCTATAGCATGGCACATGTCCAAAATCTCTTTGAGGAGTCTTATTTGCGCCTTGAGGGCTCTTTGTTCCGACAGGGAGCTTTTTTGGGGCCTAAAATGTAATTAAGGATAATAATTTCTGTCGAGAAACCTGTCCGAATACAAGAGATTGTTTACTTACGGCATTTTACGTGTGTTTATAAGTGTGTAAATTGCAAACATTTTTACGAATCATTCGCATCCAAAAATAAGTCCGGTCTAAAAATATCAGCTGCATTCCCTGTATTTTAAAACGCATGCTGCAAGACAATGTTTTGGTACTATACTTGTCAGTACCGCTATGTAACGTTGCGTCTATACGTACAGGGTATGAGGGGCCTATACCTCAAAACCTAACCTACGTTACATTAAAATGATCTTTATTTTTGTTTTATTTTCCAAATCGTCATGTTATATAATTGAAATTGCTATTAAAGTATCAATTCGAAAATCCGATAATATACAGGGTGTATCATTTTAAAAAATTGACAAAAGCATCATTTTGCAACACCGCGTATTTTAAGAGAATATTTTAAATTTGATCATTGCCTAAAGAAAAGCATTATTTGCGTAAAAGTGAATAAGGAACCCAACGAACTCTGAAGATGATCGCTAATAAGTTCGAATCGGGGCATCACAGACCCATACTCATATATATCTTTGAAAGGACTATCCAAAAATGCAATAAAATGTAGGGTGTTCTATTTTAAAAAATGTAACTTTGTTTTACCACCCTGCATATAAAAAAGTGACGATTAGGAAAGTTAAAAAAAAAGGTCATTTTAATAGAAACAACTTTTTAATTTACATTTTTTTTGGTAACCCCTGTAGGTTTCGAGATAACGTATGGACCCCTCTCAAACGGGCCACCCTGAAACAGTAGTATATTACGCAACAAGTGCGGTAAACGGCATTTGACTCACGAGTTTATTTGACATGAGCGGGGCGAGTTTTTAATAAACGAGTGAGTTAAAAAGTTTACCGAACGTATTGGGTACATTTTCACAAACCAACACGAATACATTCACTGGCATAACTGTCAGAATTGACAAACGTCAAAATTCAAAGCGTGGGAAATATCTCCGAAAACATCCGATTGCTCCCAAATCCGGTAAAATCCCGGAAATGTCCGAAGTGGCTCGGATTCATGGGAAACGCAACTGACGTGGTAAAGTGACGCTTCCCGCACGCTAGATCGGTGGGTAATTAGGTATTTTACAGTCGGGAGTAGAAAAAAATTCATTAATGCGGCGCAGACCAGGGGAATTAAAATTACGAATGAATGGGATGATTCGCGTATAACTAGCAACGTTTTGAGACACTCGGTATAAGCCGTTTGCAAGTCGAGAACACGGATTTTACATTTTTAATGGCGATCAGCATTTTTCCGATGTGCAATGACGAAAATATTTTGCCCCTAACGGTTTCGTTGTCACCTAAATATAATAATTTGAACCGTTTGCTATTTGTTTTTGCAAAATCAGCAATCCCCAGTGTAAGTATACAGCTGTTAATGATTTTAAGTGACCACTGCTCGCAAGAGACATGGGTGTCGGCAGCTTTTTTATCATCTTATCGTTAATTTTCGTGGGGGTCAGTATAATTTTATTGACATTTATTAACATTTCGGAACACCACGTGCGTTTTTTTTTTAGGATTACTATTGCCCCGTCGACTGCGATATTTCCGCCAACAGTATAATGCGCAAGGCCAGCAATCCTGTTAATCTCGTCGAGTCGCTGCGCAGACAGATCGAGTACAAAGAGCAAGAACTCGAGAGGGCGGAAAAGGTGAACAAAAATTTCGAGAAAATGATCGAACTGGTCAACGTTCTAGGTCAAGTCGACACGTTTCTCACGGACAGGACGCGGGCAATCATCAAGAAGCTGGCCATCTTGACTGAAGACGGAAACGACATTGTCGTGGCCAAAACATCGAAGCAATAATTATGTTTTGTATTTGCTGATAATAAAAGTTTGAAAATGTGCGGTATGGATATTATTCGGATCAACCTCTCCACCGCAGATCCATTAAATGATTACCAATGGCGGATTTTACGATTATGTTGAGATCAGAAAGCTTCAGTTTTCACAAAAGGCGACAATAAGCGTCGGTACTGTTGTTTGTACTTTGACTGAGGGAAATTTGTTTCATGGACTAGTAGAAATTTATTAGGCTTTAGAAAGGGTATGGGGACTAGAGAGGCTCTGTTCTGTTTTGTTGATTTTGAAAAGGCGTTTGATAAAGTTTAACACCAAAAACATATAGAAATATTACAGGATCATGAACATTGATAGTCGGGACTTCAGAATCACAGCGAATCTTTACTGTAACCAAACATCAAGAGTAAGAATTGAAGATCAGCTTACAGATGAAGTGGAAATTCTGCGAGGTATGCGTCAGGGCTGTATTCTTTCTACTATATAGTATATAGTGAGGCAATTTTCAATGAAGCTACGGATGAACGACAGGACGGTGTTACCATAAACACCATTATAGTTATTGAGAAGCTGCTGCAGAGGCTAAATGATGCATGTGAAAGATATGGACTAAACGTGAACCTTAAGAAAACTAAATTCTTACTATAGACAACACAACGATAGAAAGAATAAGCAATTGCAAACACATACACTGAAAAAGGCAGAAAAATCTCATGGACTGACAAGGTTTCCAATCAGGAACTGTTTCAGAGAACCCAGAAACATGAGGAAATAATTAACTCTCTAAAAAGAAGAAAATTGCAATACTTTGGCCACGTGATCAGAGAAGCTAAATATGCGATGCTACAGAATATTATGGAAGGAAAGATCAAGGGCAGAAATAGTCAAGGGAGAAGTAGAACCTCTTGGCTCAAAAATTTAATGGTTTGGAATGACATCAAACCAACTATTCAGAGCAGCTGTTAACAAGATTAGGATAGCCATAATAACATCCAACCTCAGTTAGCAGAATGAGCGAGAAGAAGAAGAAGAAATGTATTAATTTATTATTAAATATACATTACTTAAATTAATGCCAATAATCATTAATTTTCATCAAAATATTTAGATATTTTCAGTAAACGATATTATTCTAAATCAAATTTAATTGAAAACCATAGTAAAAAATTTACTTACTAATTGGTGCCTTTACGGAAAGAGCCAGTCTGAAAATGATACCCACGATAAGCGCACAAACTTCCCATAGTTGAAACAATATTATATAACAATTAAAATAAAAATCATAAAAGACTCCCAGACTAGTAAGCACGACACCTCAACAACGTTAGATAAGTTCTCGGACTAACAAACAAACGAGCAAGTACCTTGTGTTAGCCACTGTCGCTTCTTATTAGATTGAAGCTCTCTGGTTGAAATGTTCCGATGCTATGGTCTGTGAGTATACGTTAGGATTTTTGCTATTTTGAAACTTGACATAAGCATTTAGTGTTTATTTGGTGATTTTGAAATTTGTGAAGTGGTTTGTTTTTGAATCACTAAATCAACCTAAAACACTAATGTTTAAAAAAAACTGTCACAATAATTAGCCTGGCTGCCACAGGCATAAACTGGAAGAAGTTATGAAGTTTATACCCATAAAATAAATTGATTCGAGACAAGTCCACTTAAATCGTTTTTGAGAATTGAGGTCCGATTGTGATGATACAAACAGATAAAAGGTTTTGGTGTAGGTGTTGCCAACCAAACGTATCGCGAATTTTCTAATTCTTACCTTTATAATCACACCGCGCTATCCATTTATAGTATATTTTTCTTTCCATTCTATTTTTTAAATCGATTGTGGAATTTCTGAAGCCTCCATCAACAAGTAGGTATGTAATACATACAATACACACATAAAATATGGCTTAGTATTTTAAGTTGTATTTTTTAATAACAAATGACGGCATCTTTTAGTATGACGCTTAAATATCCCCAAAACTGTCAAAACTGGAACGATAAGATTCAGTACCTTGTTTTGTTTCCTATGTTGAAAAACCTCCTAAATTCTGAGTTGTTAAGAATTTTTTCTTAACAGTGGTAAATCTGACAACACTGCTGTGAGCATTTGTGAATTCTGCATATTGAAAAACCCCCAGGTATTGAATTTTATCGTTCCAGCGTTACAGTTTTGGATATATTCGTTCCAGTACCTTTTCCGGGAACCAAACGAAATTATGATGTTTTACGTAAAAGCCACAATATTGATTTTAGAATTCTGAATATTCAAAAGCCCTAAGGTACTGAATTTTATGATTTCAGTTTTGGCAACATTGCAGACATTTAAGCGTTCCGGTACTTTTTCCGGGACGCAGCCAGAGCATTGGTTCAACACGATATTTTAAATCTCGCGCATGCACATTTTTCATAATTACTCAATGAGTATTATTGACATTAGAGAGGACCTCTATATTTCTAGTAGCTATATGGTGAGAATCACTTAGCAAAACCCACTCTTCTCCATGAAAGAGAAAAATTCAACTACTTCATAACTCTGAGAGATCTCAACAATTTAAGGGAGTCTAATCCTAACATAAAATGTCGATTAATGTCTACCATTATGTGAAAGTACACTTTTAATACGAAAATCGTAAAATCTTTGACTTTCACTATGAAAACTGAGATCTCCATAATTTTCCCTGATCCTGGATGAACCCAAGTTCCCCGAAAAACTTGGTAAGTGTTCTCCTTCGTTGCAGGTATATATATTTTTTCACAATTTATGTGACGCAATGCAGAAGAATGTCGAAAAAATAAGTGGAAGTTCGTCAAAAAATCACAAATTTCAAATTAGTTGTAAAAGACTTGAGATTCGGCAGGGAAATAAAACTTAAGGGAAAGCCGGAAAATTAGTTTTCAACTTGGGAAATTCGGGAAAGTGAAAATAAAACGTCGATCATTTTTCTTAAAATGACTTTTAACTATTCAACACTAAATTATATAAAAAGATCACAAAAATATTCACTGCTGCCTATATATATTATTCCTCAGCACAGCCTTGTCTAATATCTCTGTAAAAGTCTTTTTCGTTAAATCGCACAACTCGGCGCTTTCTTGGGCGCTTATCTCGAGCCCAGTGCCCCTCTGAGCATCGAAGTGCGACGCCAGAGATGCTTGAGACTCGCACACCCTAGCCAGCTGCATAAGGAGATTGACGATATCCTCTATCAACGGCGGAAATGCTTCGCCTATTTTCACCAAAGCCGGAAGCACAGGTTTAAAGAGCTTGACCCTTTGGGCGCTTGAAATACCTGAAAAAGACACTGCTCGCACGAGTTTATCCCGACCCCGCTCCAACTCACCCCCAAGCAACGCGTACAGCAGGTTAAGAGCGGTAACGCAGAGGTTCAGACTTTTCGGAAGGGCGTATTGTACCGAAAGATGAGACAGAAGCTGCACGGCAAATATCTGCTTCTTGAGGCTTGGCTGTTGCATCAGTTCCTGCAGAAAGTCGAGGCAGATGTGCATCGAGGGAACGCCCTTGATCACCACCTCGAGCAACTCGCTCGGGTAGCGTTGGAAGTGCACGACCTTGCAGAGCATCGTGTCCGCTATGAAGACTTGGTGAAGGTAGCTGCAGACTAGGGATCGCACCTCTTGTAACGCCCATTGTCGCCCGGGCAACGTCCGATCATCTTCCGTTTCTAAGCATGTCTCCAAGAGCATTTGGACGGATGCGCTTTCCTATGAAGAACGTTTCAACAGGGTCAACCACCGGAAAAAAATCGATGATAATGTGTGACTTTTATAGTGGTTCGAGTTTTTAGGTTTTATGAAGTGAGCCTTCAAACTGCAATAACTGAGTGTATAACTGGAATAGTAAAAAAAGTACAATGGTATAGGAAAAGAGACTCGTGATTATTTATTGCCAGAATTATCACGCTTCCATGGGGCGCTTGGTTGAAGTTTATTGGAGTTCAAAAAAATACACAGCCTTCACTTAATTTTTTTATTTACAACTCCTCTTATGTTTTAAAATATCCGTCGGCGTCAACATCAGGTCCTTATCGCACTTGGCGCAGTAATACTTTTTCGAGTTGGGTTTGACGACGGCGTTGCAGACATCTTCCTCCGCCTCCTTCTTAATCTCCGCCTTGGAGTCACAAAACTCCTCATGCTGCATTATTCGGAACACTGAAGCTCCCGACATGGTCTTCTTGCAGTGTTTGCACTCGTACTCGCTCGCGCAGATCTCCTGCTGGATACTGATGCACCACTCTTCCTCCAGCAAACAGTCGAAAATCACGTTCTCTGTGACGTTGAACCCACCCTTGATGTCGTTACGCGCCATCACGTAATCCCCGTCGAAAGGGTTTAATTTTTGGTCGATGCACTCGAAACCTTCGCTCGTAAACTTGTATAGCTCCTTCAGATCGGCGGGCAACAGACGTTTGAGGTTGTAAGACACCTCGAGAGTCATAAAATTAACCAAATCGTCTGCGAAGTAGAACATTTCCTCGCGATCCCTCGCCGTTTCTTTTACAGACGGGTCGTTCAACTTGCATTCCACTCTGCGCTTCCACTTCTTGCGCAGCTCTACCGCGCGCAGCAGTAGCGACTTGCCCTGGCCGAAATATGGCGCGTCCACGAGTAGGAAATCGTCCACTAGGAATTTGGTCAACGTCGAATTCGTCGCGATCGTTTTGCCGAACAGCAACAACGTCTGCAAGCACGGCATCCTCATCGTGTTCATGAGGTAAACCTTTTTCGTTTCCAAAATCGATTGGTACACGAGCACTTGGTGCTTCTTGCTAATTGGCCTCTTGCTAAAATATCCTAAAAATGTGAGAAAAACGACGTAACGAAAAAGAGCAATTTGGTAGTTCAAATGAAACCGTAACGACCGGCATACGAAGGCGAATGTCATGGAAATCCCGGCCAAAAATCATAATGCCAATCTGAGAATTTTAGACAAATCCCAATAATACTTAATTAAGTGGTTACCTGACTATTATACCCTAACCTGGGTTCTCGTTTGAGGTATGCCAATTTTATTTACCTTTGGAATTTATATATATACATATTTTTTGGTATTCCTTGAAAGACATTTTATTTTGATTTAGCTTTTGTTGTTTTGTGGTATTAGCTAAAATAAAAACGGTCTACATATTGATAGGGACTTCATCATAATAGAGGGGTAAATAGATTGCAAATAGATGGGAAACGCTCCAAGTGGAAGTGGAATGTGGAAAATTCAAGATTGCAAAGCAGCGGAAACAAAAACGTCAACCTGTTAACACAATCATCCTCTATTTTAAACTCAAGTGACACAAATGAGTGCAGTATATCAAAGGGCCACAGAAACATATCTACAGTTACGCAGCAAACTTTGGAAATATTTTCTTATGTCATCCCAACGAATACGGATTCTGCGATTTCAGAGATCTGCAATGGAGGCTTTATCCCTAGTGGTAGGTAAATTCCAAAAATTTTTATAGATAAACTCTAGGTACAGTAGCGTAGAAGCAGGCACTTTTAATATAGTTACAGAATTTTTCAAAAAAGATGGGTTTTCTCTTTTTCTTTAGAAAAAAAAAGGTATTACTTACTAAAGTAAAAAAAAAAATGTGGTAATTTGCGGTCTTGCTTTAAATATTTGTTTAAATGTTTGTGCGCTCATTAAACAATTTTTTTCCCTTTTCATTACCATATTTGGTTGAAAGACGCACTATCAAAGAAAGTAAAGATTAATTTGTTTGGACAAATAAGATTTGTCAAGTTTATGCGGTGAGTTTCGGATGTGAATTTAAATATTAAATATCATAATATGCGAGAGTCAAGGAAAAGTTTCCGACCTCGCCCTCAAGATGGCGGCACTAGTTACTAAAAGCGACCCATAGCTACTTACCAAAGTTTCAGCCATTTTGAACTCATGGTTTTTAGTTGAGGGTCGTCTTAACGAGTGAGTTTTGAGTGCGAGTGCTTTCGTAAAATTATGAAAAATTGAGTATAGAGCTGTTATAAAACATTCTTTTGAAAGGCAATACATCTACGCAAATTAAAGTTGAGTTGGACTCTGTGCACCGTCATTTACTACAGTCAAATTTTGGGCACATGAATTTAAAAGCGGCTGTAAGAGTTTAAGAGGTAGTAAACCTTCGAGACGTCCAAAAAGTTCATCAAATGGTGTTAAACGACCGCCGAATTAAAGGGAAATAGTAGAGATTGTGGAAACGTCTGAAGAACATGTTTGTCACATTTTAAATGTAGATTTAAGCATGAGAAAGCTGTCCGTGTTCGAATGAACGTTTCCAACGCTTTGTAAGCGCAGCTTAGGCGCAATAAATCCAAGTTTTGGCGCCGATTAATTACTGCAGATGAAACTTGGGTACACCCGAATCAAAAATACAGTCCAAACTGCGAACTGAGAATGGAAAACCGACTCCGAAAAACTGTTTTTTTGGTTCGGAAAGTGATGGCGACTGTTTTTTGGGATAGTCATGGAGTTATCTTTATCAATTACCTTCAAGAAGGAAAACCATTACAGGCGCATACCACGCATCGTTACTTGATAAGCTGTGAACAGAAATTGTCAAGAAACTTCCACATTTGCAAAAAAAATCCTGTTACACCAAGACAACCTCAGCGGTTACCATGACTAAAATCTACGAATTACGGTTTGAACTGCTTGACCATCCGCCTTACTCACCAGATCTAGCCCCAAGCGCTTTCTTTTCATTTTCGTCAAATGAGAAGGCAATAATTTTGCGCACAAAATCGCTGGGCACTTGGACGTGTTAGAAAGATGGAAACATTGCGGGAAGAAGTCTATAGAGTTACAAGGAGATTATGTAGAAAAATAAAGAACAAATTTTTTTAAAAAATGTCGGAAACTTTTCAAGTTACCCTTGTACTATATACACATTTTTTTTTAAGTGAAGAACTTAATTTAGGAGAGGTGGGGGTCATGTGTAAGTAACAAATTGTAGTGATATTTACAGTCATGGCAGTAATTTTTGTTAGTACAAAAGAAAGGTCTCCACGGTCCACTACCAATTATATCATCGAGTGAAATAAAAATGTTTTTTTAAAAAATACTTGTAAAGTTTATGGTTATTCTTTATATCCCTTTTTGCACATTTTATCAATTTTTCTAATCTAATTATTGGGGCTGTATTTTTGGCTGCGATCCCTTCTAGATTAGCGTATGTGCGACAGGCACTCACCAGGTGGCGGCACTTCGACGTCATCGTTGTGCAGCTCCAGAGTCTCGGGATTCGCAGCGAAGTAACTCATCGGTCTCAGGAATACATAGTTTTTATTTTTCGTGTGGTACAACCGTTCCGAAACGGTTTTTGAAGAGTTGTGTTCGTCTTCGACGGCGATTTGAGGGTAAAAACCGCTGGTGAGGATCAGTTTGAGCAGCATGAGGTCTCGAAACCCATCGGCGGATGCCTCGTTTAGCAATTTTTGTAGCCTCTACAAACCGACCCGAGTGTTTTCTGACGGAAGAATGGGTGGAATGTGCAGATATATGAGGATGACACAAGAGAGATTAGGGGGAGTCGACTGATTATGGAGAAAATCCTGTTTTTATTACATTGCCTCTGATGTTTTGTGGTGTGAGTGTCGTTTTATAATTTTTAATTATCATGGTAGTCCCTTCCTCAATGTAAAGTAGATATACCCCCTATATATCCTTTGACAGGTTACTTTTGTCTTGTAATTTGTTCTTTTTAAACAATGGATTAATAACATTATTCGCCCATTATTTTAGCGTTTAAAAACCTACAGATTATGACAATAAGTTTAGACGAAATATGACCAGATCAAAGGATGAGCAGAAAAGAATCTAGTCAGATACTGGTTGTATTTTTTTGTTTTATATTTAAAAGACTTTTTAGGAAGGTTACTGGAGATTTAATTTCTAATATTTCCAATCCATTTTGCAGAATATGAAGAAGGAGAGATCTTAAATCGAATTAGAGCCAAAAAATGTGGCGTTGAATTTCGTATAATTTACTTGATATACTTAAATACTTATGATAGAGTCTTGTGGGGGTAAAAGACACCACCTAACCTTGAAATCGTTGGATATTCTAAACTCGACGTCGCGTAAGTCGGTTCTGGACTCGGATTCGTCGACGTCTTCGCCGAAATTGTACATTTCGTATTTGAGTTGCTTTCTGCGCTGCAATTTCGACTCGTTCTTCAAACTGTGCCGCAAAGACTTCAGATGCTTTAACTCGCCGTATCTTATCGCCCTTTCTCCGCTGGTCAACTGACCTGAAACCCAGCAACGAGGTGGGTCCACTTTTTTTTTTTAATTTCCTTCGACCCACCCTCCTCTATTTTCGTCAGCAGGTTCGCTTCGTGCAAAATATCTCGGAATTGTTCCAGAAGTTTGGTCACCTCGTAGAATCTTTGTTCCTCCAAGCACCGCTTTTTCGACCACGTCCTTGAACTTTCCGATTTATGCCTCGAACTGCTCTGCACTGGTGCCGACATTTGTTTAACGGTTAACCTAAAACCTCCTCGCCGCTTACGTTGGTAAGACCACTAATTGATGCCTTGCATTTGCCACAATTTTAGATAATATAATAGTAAATAGGAAAAAAATGTATGTCATCTGTAATGAATTGAAACTTTACACCTATGTAACTTTTATAGATAATTATAGATCCTTTACATGGTTGGTTTCTGTTAATTATACAGGGTGTTCTTTGAATGATATCATATAATTAAAATAGTGTATCTAGATCCCACTATAATGCCAGCGGGCATCTCGATTTCAGACTGACAATTGCGAATCGGAGTTAATGTCGGATAATCAACAATATAATGTGCAATCTAGAATGAGCTGGAAGTTTTTGGAAGTAGTGTACAGAATATCACGATAAAACATTAAACTGGAGATATTTTTCCATATGATTGATTAAATAATGAAACGATGACTTAAATAATATCCTTTTTTGACAATGATGAATTCTTGATATTATATTAGCAATGTTTCTACCTCGGTTTGTATCAAAAATTAATGGAGAACTGTTTGCCGTGTTAACACAGAATGTAATAAGACCGCTTAATCATACTTAAAGTTTGAATTTATGTGATTAACAATTAATCTGGAATATTTTGTAGTGTTAAGCAAAATCATAGGATCCCCTTATTTTTTTTTAATATTTGGATAATATTGGTATGGAGATCTTGTTGTGGGGTTTGAATTTATAAAATTAACAGACAAAACAATGAGTAAAATGAAACAGTTTTTTTGAGCTTATTAAATATATGATTGCACGATTTGGTCACAGCTCACCCACTGCAAACCTTATTGCCCAGCTTATGCTATCATTATTTGATGTAATTTCAATAACACTCTGTATAAGTTTCAAAAAAGGTATTAGCACTTTTTACACTAGAGGATTTTCGTGGTTACTATCTAACTCTGAGGTCAATATGATTGCTTGAAAAATTTGCAATAGGTGATGCATATTGGTAGTTCAAATGACTCATCTCGCTCTTCGATAATATTGTAAAATATTTTAACAAAAGAACTATACATATTAAAAACCCACCATTCCTTATAAAAATTCAGTAAACTCAAAGGATCTCCGTGGTTGGACTCCAACGGTTTCCTCAAATTCAGACCCTCGGAATCTCGATATGCGTTTTGGGTCAATGGACTCTGTACACTTAGGAGGGAAGCCAACGCGAGTATTGAATTAACGTTCCCGAAAATTGTAGACATTATGAGCATTTTCCCAATTCCCAAGTCTACTGGCAGCTGGCTCAGAGCATCCCCTAGAGTCGTGAGAACTAGGCAATTGTCATCGAGCGCCAAAGCCCCAGTAAATTTTAATTTTTCCAAACTTTCTTCAATGGCTTTCTGACTTGGCTTCTCTAGGAACGGAAAGTGTTCTATATCGCTCAGCCCCAGTGACACCATGTGCAAAATCAAAGAGTCTAAAGGAACCAAATGTATTTCCGCTGGCGTAAACGCATCGAAACTTCTGAAATCTTCTTCTGAGTAGAGCCTGTAACAAACTCCGGGTCCTGTTCGACCAGCTCTGCCGCATCTTTGTTTGGCGCTGTCCTGAGATATATTGCATTCACTCAATTTATTTACTCCTAAGTTTGTGTTGTACATCATTCTATTGACTTTTCCGGAATCTATGACAAACCTGATACCAAGGAAGATGTTAGTTACGTAAAACCAAAGATTACTGAGAAGATAAAGGCTGTTTCAATTTTTTTTACCTAACTTTCAAGTTTTCAATTTTGAATCGGTGTTTAAGACATAGACAAAACATGAACAGATAAAACAAATGGTCAAATAGGAAAAACAAAATGTAGTTTCGACCTAATTTACACTGATGGTCAGAAAAACCTACAATCAGAACATGAGTGTGCCCATTAAGTCACTATTGCAACTTGTCGCCTTATTATTAGGAAAAATATATAAAAATAAAAACAAATAAGAACTAAAAGTTCAGATTTTCACGAAATTATATATTTTGACATGACAATTCTTTCGACAACACTTTATCAAATGTAATATTTACAAACTACCTGCTACTATATATACCGAAAAATGACCATAAAACCTTAATTAATGTTGTTGCGAGAATTTAAGTTCAATAAAGGAGAGGTATTTAAATCTAATTGGTCATTAAGCAATACATTTGAATGTCTCATTTTGTTAATCTCCATGGCTTCCAATAAATTTAATTTTCTACTTTTTGTGGCTGTAAGTAAAATATATACTTACCTTATACCATCGATTGTGACTGAAGTCTCGGCAATATTAGTGGATATAATACATTTTCTAACGCCTTCTGGGGCATAGTCAAATACTTTATCTTGTTCCTCAAGGGACAAACTACTGTGCAATGGAAGGACAATCCAATTTTTTTTGTACTGGCTGTACTCGTTAACGGCATCAGCCAAGGTAGATATCTCCGAGAAGCCGTTGAGAAAAATCAACACATCCCCTTTTTGGTGGGGCGGATATTTCTCATCTATCATCTGGAGAATTTGCAAATAGGGGGTACAATCGAATTTTTCGCGTTTCCGCTCATAGGGATCCTTTATTATTGGTTGGTAGTGCAATTCAATAGGATACAACCTCCCAGGTACCTACATACCTCGACTTCTTTTATCACACACAACAGATTGTACACACTTACCTGAATAACTTTGATATTTTCTTCAGCGAAGTAATTGGTAAATAGTTCAATATTTATTGTGGCAGACATTAAAATTAATTTTATATCTTGCCTTTTATATAAGAGACATTTCATAATTCCTATAAAAAACACAAGATGCGCAATTTACACATTTTGATCCTGTACTTACCTATTAAAAAGTCTCCATACAAATGCCTCTCGTGCACTTCATCCAGAATAACCACATCATAAGAATTTAAAGTTTCCTCCTCTGAAGCTTGCCTTAACAGCAAACCCTCTGTCATAAATATTATCTTTGTATCACTGCGTTTAGTTTTCTCAAACCGGATTTGGTAACCCACCGTACTTTTAAAGTCGGTTAAAGTTTCATAGGACACCCTCTTAGCTAAACTTATGCAAGCTATGCGCCTGGGTTGAGTACATGCAATTTTCTTAAAGCCCGCTTCCATAACATACTGTGGTACTTGGGTGGATTTTCCGCAACCTGTATTCCCCGCTATCAACACAATTCTAGACTCCTTTACCTTGTCAATGATTTCTTCTTTAAACTGCGTTATGGGCAAATCTTTTTGGGCAGCTCTAAGCATTTTGAGCTTTGAAAACTTGGTTTTCTGTTGAAAATCTTGGTACACTTTGATGACCAATAAAAATTCATCAAAAGATTCAGTTGAGATGTAAATTTTTTCACCGTGTTTATCTAAAATGGGTAACTTGTCATACAAAATATTCCTGGCCTCGCTGAATTCAAAATTGAGCAGTGAATTTCTGTTAAAAGACGGGTCGTTCGCTTTCAACCTTTGTGCGTTTTGATACTTTTCGAAAAATTTCCAAAAATCGCCCATGTTTTTAATATTTCCGTTTTCTTCCAAAAACCTAGCCAATTCGAATTTGTAATCATCTATTTTCTTTGGCTTCTTAGGAGATAAAGATCTTCGTTTAAACTTTTTCCTATCTGCGGGACTTCTAGATCGACTTCTACCCCTCTGGTATCTCTTGTCATGTTTATGATACTTATAGAAATCATTTCGATGTTTGTTATAATCCATAATAAACAGCTATTAAAGCAAATTTTAGGTTAGGCATATTTCCTCTTCTTCTTAAATGTAAATTTTTTTCTTCCTTTGCATCTCGTGGCCAACATCATTGTAACCAGAGAAGCAATAATTTTTCTACAGCATGGCAACAATATCTGTCACCAAAACCCCGAATAAGAATCAGACACGACGTACAAAATAAAGGGCTTTATTATTTTTTGCCTCAATTGTCAAGTGGTGGGTCTAAGTTCGCCAAAAGTTTGATATATGCCGCAATAGTCTTACCTGCGCCGCAATGACTGCTCTGCACATCTCCTCCCTATCAGCTTCGTTTAATGGCTGCCCGTTTTGATCCAAACGGGGATTAGCCTGATGATGCTGCGTCAATTGACTTCGAGAACTAGCCAAACTCGCCCGGAGGACACGCAACACTATTGCGTAGATCGGGGCACATCGAAAAACTTTTTCGTCACACCTCATAACCTAAAAAAATGCACCGGCGTTACGTATGCGCGCATCCTGACCTTCAAAATTCTACCCACTTGTAACGGATCTTCGGCCACATCAATTCTGGTCAAAACCGAGAAGTCGTTGACCAAATTTTTCACGGTCAAAATCCACAAGCGACGCGGCAACACTGTGTTTAAACGGAGCCAGACATCCTTGTATAGGTCCTGTAGGTATCTGGGCACATTTTCCTCCGATATTTGCCTAAATAATAGGACCACTGTAACTATTTCAATTTCTATTGACAAATTAAACGCTGTTTCACCTCACGAACTGAGTAAAACATTCTGCAAAGGGCCAAATATCGATCGCCTCCATTTTTAACATGGTTTGCATAAGTTTGGCGCATTTGGCTGGATTCGTTTCGATTTCACTGAACGCTGTCACAACAAGGTAATCGTTGATGGTATTTTTTTGCTTGTTTTCGGTGTTAATCGCCATATCGTCTAGCCAATCTTCCACGAGCGTTAGATGGGGAAAATGAGTGGCCAAAAGTTTCAAGAGTGGTCCGAAAAGACCTAAAAATTGTCGACAATGGGCGAATCTATCGATCTAAGTAAAAGTACAAGAAGAAAATACTCTACGCATCCGCTACAGTAGCGCCGAAATCGCGTCAAAATTGACAAGCGATTTGCAGACAAAAAATAGTGCTATAGGTATAAGAATTTGTTAATCCACAGGGGCAAAATTCAAAAATTGAACTGGTTGATAACCTACACTTCTGTGAAATAATAGGAAAATTAAAGTCACCCGTTCAATTCTAATTGTTGGAAAATACACGGCTTTCAGACCAACATCGTGTTAATTATACAGATTGATAAATATATTTCATTGATGACATCAAATATTTAAATAGTTGAATTATTTTTCTGCTAAGTTTTTTTTAAATATATTTATTTGTAACTGATTCAAAAACAGTGTTATCAACTCAAAATAAAACAATTACATTATAAGCTTCGTATTTTATGTAAGTCTTTTTAAGTTTAAGTAGAAGGTGTAAATAGTTACTGCAAATATACTTTTAATTTCTGCCAAAATTGTTTTATGTTTTTGCTTCAACAAATCACTTTTGATACAGTTATAGTCCGAATACAGCTATAATGGCGATTTTTGTACTTTAAGGTTTTGAAAAATTAGTTCTAAAGTCACTTGCACTATATGTATTATAAGTATGCATTTGTTTGACTTTCTTTTTATCTAAATTACTTTTTTACAGGTTATGCTTTATGGAATATATATATTTTGCTTGTTCAAAAGTCACTATTTTTTTATGTCCCGTGTTTTTCTTGTTTCATACTCTATTTCTGTTGAAGTGAGATGGTTTATTTTAAATTTTATTTTCACTGCTTTGTTTTGAGTCCTGTGTAATTTATTTTGCAGATAGGTGGGAAGACTTCCCCAACATGAAATTAAGTACCTTATATGAGGTGGTGAGATTGCGTGTACACTGCTTTATTGCACCAACGACGGGAGCGATTGCCCAATCCCATAAGACGTACGTTCGCCAAAATTATCGATCGCACGTGGTCGCTTGTGACGTAAGCGAAGTCCTCTAACGGTTTTTGTGTATTCTGTCAATGCATTTGAAGGCCGTTGCATTTTGTGTTCTTTAAACAATTAAAATAATTTAAACCAGTGAGTGTGCTTATGTTTGTGTTAAAGGTAAGAAATACATTTCTTTTACCTTTTTCAGTCTGATAAGTTACATCAAAAAATAGTTAGGTATGTCTGGAACGAGATGTGTCGTGTATGGGTGCAATAACGACTATTTTGATGAAAAAGCGAGTTCTCGAAAATATAGTTTTTATCGCTTTCCCAAAGGGAAAGATCTAGTATCCTGAACTATTCGGAACGAGTGGATAGTTTGATGTAGAAGAGAGGAGTCTCAAAGCAGCTCATCCTTTTCATCAGTTTCCTCAAGTAGATCTAAGGATCAATCTGATTGTAATCGGGCGCTAAGAAAACTACTGAAGATGCTTTGGAGTACATTTCGGGCTACTTAGCTAAAAAACACAAAACAGATATCCCCAATTTAGGAGATTATACTTATAATATTACCACAGATCATCATTACAGCACTCCCTCTTGGATACAACAGTGATCATATGGAGGCCTTATAAAGCCTTGTGATCATTTTTTGAAAAAAAATTAAAAATGGAACTTTTATTTTGAATCCCAGCATGGTGATTCGTTTCGAAAAGGGCAAAGGGTGGTAAAAAACTTAGCAATAAAAAATATTTAAAACAGAAAAAGAATTACCATTCAGTTTAGTTAGAGATTTTTGTAAGCTGAGAACGATAACATTCGTATGGACTTCAGAAATTTAAAAGCAAAAAAAAAGAAAATCTTTGCAAGATGATACCCGCAGAAAAAAAATTAGAAAGTATGGTAATATTGTAAAATAAAGATTTAAGTATATGTAGTAATATGAATTTTTTATATTATGTATATACAGGGTACATATAAAAACATATTATTATTCACCTACCACCTATAAATAGGTTTTATGTATTTCTAATACATTTTTTGTTTTTTAATATGTTCTTTAATATATCCAAAAATAGGGATTTCTAGTTTATAACTATTTGTTGATTTTTGTATATTTCAAATAGTAGAATGCCGTAAAACACAAAGTTTTACAAGTAAATTGTTTTGTGCACTGGTTTTATGTATTTATGTTTAACAATATTTAATTAATATATGTATAAGTCAAACTTGATTGCAATAGCGTTATTTTTACCCTACCTGAGATCCTACCCTACGTTACTTCCCAATAATTATTAAATAAGTACTAAAACGATTTAACGTTGACATTAAATGAGAATAACGAGTGATTATCCAAACAAAATGATATATTAGCTACTCAAAACTCTGGTAAAAAAAAATTAAATAGTTGCTTCATGAGTTCCATAGACAGGGCCTCTATATGTCTAGTAACTACATGACATTTTTCCTAAATTTTATGCAAAAATGGACTCTGTTAAATTAATAGTAAATAAATAAAATAGATAGCAGTTTAAAAGCGCGCAAATGATAAAATAATTTCTCTCCTTAGATTACCAAAATCTTACACTGTATGCCCCTTCGAAGCGAGTTAAGTACTTACCTGAATAGGAACTTTGATCTTTCTGCGCGTGATGCAACAAATACTTTATCGGCAGCTCGGACATGAACTCCGGCGTGTATGTCTTAATTTTTCGACCGCTGGATGCAAGCGCGTAGGCGTTGTTTAACCGGCAGTCCTCATAAAGTAACAGATAGTACAGTAACAGCAACTGCGGTGTCAAGCTCCTATCGTCCACTACGACGTCTTGATTTTCCGAAGCAATATCAAAGTCCATGGTGAATATCGAGCGTTTCTGGTCGAAGTACTGGCCGAATATGGAACTCTGAAATACCCTCCGTATCTCGTTTTCCGTCAACGGTTTGTTGGTTTGTTCGGTGTTCTTCGCGTTTGGCAACATAATACTGTTCACGTATACTTCCACCAGCATGGGCAGGACGGGATGTAGGGGACTCACGCTGGTACACATCTGCTTGTAGATCCAATTCTTGATGTTGACGTTGTGTTTCGCGAACGCCCTCGATTTGAGCAACTGATGTATGCAGTGAATGGGAAGGAAACCGGTCATGTTAGCGCTCAGTCCCTGAGTGACGGGCACCTTGACCGCGTGGGCGGTAACCACTTGCTCGGTGAAAATCTCCTGAGTGAAAACCTGTTTCATTCGGTTCATGTTGTTGTGACGTATCGCTATCTTCATGCCCAAGGTCGCGCAGGTCAGCTCGCAGATGGCGCTAAGTTGCTGACTGTGGAAGTGGATCGCCATCAGCAAGAGCATTTCGCCGAAAGATGCCGAGACGCCGCTCGCCGATTCGAAATAGGCCTCCTCCCTCACGAGCCACTGCACCCACTCTATGCTACGTCTCTCGTGCTCCGGTTGAGATATGAGGGAGGGGCAAGCGATCAGCATGCACAATCCGATCGAGACGAAACGCACTCCTGCAGGGGTGGGGCTCGGATGTGAAGTTAGGAGTTGAACGATCAAAACCACTTCTTCGTCTTGAAATCTAAAATTACCAAGTGAACAAAGGGTATAATGATAACGACCGGGACGGTTATTCTTAACTGCAATAGAATAGAATGACCCCCGACACCAGCTGCTATTACCGGTGATAAAAAATATTTCTGATATGTCACATAATTCTGCAACATTACGAAAAACACTTCCTCCAGAGAAATTATACTTATCCTTTCTAAAATTTAGATTTGAAAAGTAAGAACGGTCAAAAAAAAATCACCTTCCTCTTAAGTGGCTAGGATGGATATATACGTCATCAACATATGCATTACAGAACGCCCGAGACTAAAAATATGTCCGCTTGCGTACAATATATGTCTTTAGGAGTCCGCGAGAGTGGTGATAAATACTCACATTCATCGGATCAGTGCTTTTTCGTGCGTGTTTGGACCTGTTTTATGTATGGGTTTATTTTGATATACAGTTAGTCTCAAGACAACGATTTCCGGACTTGTTATTTTAATATTATTATTTTATATTTAGTTTATGGCCAAAATAAAGACAAACAGCAATAAAATCGACGAAAGTGATTATGATGGATTTTAGAGTCAGAGGAAGAGGACAGTACTGAGAAGAGTACAGAGGAAGAAGATCATAGTGACGAAGACGAAATTGGACCTGTTCAAATACCAGAATCCCTGGTTCCTTTTCAAGGCGATTCTGGTATAAACCT